TTTGATTTTGTTTTGCAAACAAAAGCGGGGTCATAAATGATGGCCAAAGTCACTCTGGCATTTATGACCTCATTTACAACCCTGGCGTTTATGACCCCAGCATTTACGACCCTGTTTTTGTTTGCAAAACAAAATAAAAAACCTGGCCAAAGTCACCCCAGTTGACAGTAATTAATGTTTATGGCAATATCATATCAATGAAGGCAAAACGAGTAAAAATCACAGAAAATGTCATTTATTCTACCTCTACATCATCTAAAATGAAAGAAGAGGACTTCAGAGTACTGTTAGTAATGGATGAGCACACTCTGCATGCTTCAAATATTTTAAAACTAAGTTTTATTCCAAGTGTCCCAAGTAGCCCCGTTCGATGGGGCTACTCGGGACACTCTTTTTTTGCTTCTGGCATCTTACGAATAGCATATGGAATTTTTTTGAAGATGCCATTTGATAGCCCTCGCAAAGAGCTACAAAATGAGCCTAAACTTGTTTATGAAATGTTTCATGGTAAGAAGCTATTAACAAAAAACGCTCAAAACCATCCTGAGTAGCCCTGGTTGATGGTACGGTGTATTTTTTACAGCCATTCATATTTTGCTACGTCCTTAAAGTGTCGGAATATATACTGCGTTCACCCTATCCAACTTACTGGAAACCTTACTCTGGCTTACTGTGTGTGCTTGCCGCTTGCGGAGTTACGGTTTTCCAGATTTTCAACCATTTCCTAAATAGTTGACCAAACATTGCTGAATATCTAAAATGCAAGATTTTATCACCGCGTTTTCTTAACGGATAGAAAAGAAAAACATTTACTCCTACAAAACATTTAAGTTATGTGAAATGTTATGTAATGTTATGTCAGAGTAAATGTTTTGCTTTTTTGTCCATTAAGAAAATGTGGTTTCTAAAATTTTTTTTTATTTGTTTTATCAGAAAAACATGGTTTATAAAATATTTTTTATATTTATTTATTTTCTTCTTTTTAGTTAGCAACTTTAGCAATTCAAATCAATTTCCAGGGTTGGAAAGTGTGGATGTCCGAGAAAAAACTCATTTCCTAACCGTCAATTTTTATTATTATTTTTTGTTTATTTTTTTTTCTAAGAAAATTTTTTTTAATTATTACGGTATTTCTGATGATCAAATCTTGAATTGTTAGGCAGCATAAGCATGCATGCCAAATTTCAAATTTCTAGGATGTTCAGAAGAGCTCTAAATTAAGGTCTGCATTTTTGATTACAGACAGACAGACGGACATGAAACGAAGCTAAGAAAAAAGTTGTAATAATAAAATAGTCAAATTAACTCCCACAGTCTTGGCCTAAAAAATCAAAAATCCCGAAATTGTTGATGAAAATTTTGTGATCTGCATATTTGACGCCCAATTTAACTCGGTATTGAATGGTAAAGGTTTATGTTAGAGGGCAACAATTATTTATAATATGTATCAACTATCGTGATGAAATGACATATTATTCAAGTCCTACACCAAGATGATAATATGAAATCATTATGCAAGATGAATCGCTAGTTATGTCAAATATAAGATAGATTTTACTCGATCGTACGTCGTTATCGATTACGTCGGTTACACGTTGTGGCGTCGCTGAGCATATATATTGATAAAATAGCTCGATATAATACAGGTTCATAAAATATCTCATTAAAATGACCTTGTCTGAACCTTAATTTGACGTTATGACAGTATACATCAATAAGACATTTTGTTCATCATTAACGCTGGCAATAATAAATTTTCGCAACCATCAATATGCGTTTTTTAAAACGTCAAACGTCAATGAGCGTATATATAGATAGCGTTTATAAATCGATGTTTTCACGACTCGATTAATTTACATTTTTATTTAACGCTACTTCATTAACGCAGTCATTCAGCAATATTACTGGACCTTTTCAGTTTTTAATATTGACCAGGCTAGTAGACGTTATTAAAAGTCCATTTATGGAATTGCTCTCAGTGTGATACGTACCGTCAGGGATGATCGGCAACAAATAGCGTCACATTGCAATGTGCGTGGATAATGGTTTGACAGTCGGCAATCGGCATGTACCTATAACAGGAATACTGTATGCGTGCAGTGAGCGTTGCTATAGCGATGTTGTTGGCATGCTGTTAGCGCGCTCGAGGACGCAGGATACTCCGCAGGATACACTGCTATGCTGTCGCGTGTGCTTTTAGCTCTATAGCGCGTGCGTGTCGCGTGTGAATGTGACATCATTCGTACAGAAATCGATTATTGCTTACGATTTTACTAATAAGTCCGTTTTATAAGAATTTTATATAGGAAACATGTCCCATCCTCTACGACAATTGCTATTGGGCTGACATTTTTACCATTTCGTAGTTGTACAGCTAAATCAGTTTCGCCTTTAATTTTAAGCGCGTCGCCTGTATAGCGGAAACTGTGTTAATGCTTGTCGGAGTTATTAGAGCAACATCTTTTAGAGCGCTCAGCTTATTCAGAGTCGCTTTGGACTCAGTATCGAGAAAATCTCTTATTTTACGATCATTAACAATAAGTTTGATGATCGGGACGCGCACATTTATTTTATCGCCTTATCGTCGAACAGTTTAACTGTCAACGGTCGTCTGAAGATCGACAAGGAACATTGTTCACGCTTGTCTATTGTCTACAGCATTTTGATGTCAAAGGAACCATCCTGGCTATGCCTCAACAGCATATCGCGGGCATTATTTAACTGCATTATTTCCCGCGATCATCTGTCAATCCCGTAAAAGTAAAATGAATTTGCATCGTCCAATCATTGTCGGACGTTTCCTTCTCACCTTCTGCAGTGCCTAGCTGACATGGCGGCTCACCTGCTAATACTTTGCCTCCGAAATTGGGCAATTTTAGCTGGTGAAAAAATATATTGAATTGAAGCTCGTAGTATTACCGTCTCCGTCGTTGATGTGAAGACATCGTTGCAGTCGTTGCGATGGTAGATGTAGGGACGAGCGCTGTCACCGATGCTGGCGAGGATGCTGGAGCTTTGTCCACCATGTTTAGTTTTATATCACTGCACATTACTGTCAGGATAACGCACAGGCACTTTTACGTTCTCAAACCGGCCGTTGCTTATTTTCAGTATTTAGACTGTCATCTAAGTCTGTGTCACTGCCACTCAAAAGTCACTTTCACTTAGAAACAATTAACTGAAGGACTGTTCGGCGCCACTGTCAGGTGTCTATTTCTGCGACCACCTGATGGATTTGTACTGAGGGTCTGGGTACTATTGTTCCAAGTATGACTAAGGCAGGACAAGTGAAACACGATTAACACTAGAACTATTATAATAATGAACTGGCTCGGTGAGTACAGAAGGACGGGGATTGACAGGTACAGCACAAGTATGTGCCGGAGGAGCGGCTAGCAAGATGACGGCTAGGCAGTACCGCTGCGACTGACGAGCGATGCACTGCTCTGGCTATAAATAGTCCTTAACAGGGATGACGTCACTAGGCGTGACTCTACCATGTGGGTACAGAACAAGCTATTAGATGGTGACGTATTATGACCTAGAGGGTGATAGAAGATACCCTGACAAGTTTATTTAAATGGCCAATGCTGTCAGAGGGAGAGAACCTGCTAATCTTGAGAAATATTTTGGGAAATATTTCACACAGAAATATTTTAATTCTCCTGATTCCTGTGAAGCTTATTATTCACACTGATGAATTGAATTGCAATTTTGATGAATTTCACTTCCTAATTAAATATATTTATGTTTATCTGGGGGATAACTTCAATTCCCAAAATTGATAATCTTCAATTAAAATATAGCCTGCATATGGATGTTTGAACGCTAGTATTCAAGTTGACATATATACATTCCTGACACAAAAGCTAAAATTATTCTTGTTACAAACCTATTCACAATTATTTATAATTCTGATTGCATTGTGAATGCATGGCTGCATCTTTCCCCCATGCCGCAGGCAGTGCAGGCTTACAGTGCTGTTTAGAACACTACTTAGTTACTGAATGAGAAATTTGTTCATTTTGAAACACTTCTCTTTAACTTCACTTCTTGTTTGTCTGTTACAAATCTTTTAATCGAAATTTAACACACTTCTACTTATCCTAAGGATCCGAAATTTTGCACACTTGCGCGTAAAGTTGGAGACAATACATGAATCAAATGACAAAATAAATAATTTTAGGAATAAACATTTTTTTTCAATATTAAAAAAACTGAAAAAATAATTTTGTCAGCTGCAAATCTTATAGGTAATTGATATTTGACACACTTTTACTTGTCCAATTGATATGAAATTTTGCACACTTGTGTGAAGTTGGAAGCAATGCATGAATAAATTGACAGAATAAATAATTTTGAGAAAAATTTTGTGTGTTAAAAAAATTGAAAAATTAATTTTTTTAGTATCTGAAAATAAAATTAGAAATTCATTGGATTGTAACATTGGAAACACTGGATTCTTTAGAAGTGTTGTCTTTAAGAAGTAATTTTTAAACCTTTATTATTAATATTCTTTTTAACCTTTGGATATTTAATTATTGCTAGGTTTGACTTGCACAAGTTGCTCAAAGTTTAAGATTCTATTTAAGATATTCATAATTTGAATGTTATGGAACCAGCCAAATAAAGTATGATTGAATTTTGTAGATAACTTCACTGACCAGCAAAATTCCATTAATTTATTATATAACTTATCCTATCAAGGTGATTGGTGGTAAGAAAGTAGGACAGAGTTTATTTCTGCTAGTTAATCTAATGATACCACTCATTCAAGTTTAATTGATATCTAAATATGCATGGTTTAAGAGTTTTCATGTATTGATAGGCAGAAGTTCCTGTTTTTAAGAAACCAGAAAAGTAATTTGTATCCATAGGTGTGATCCTTGGGCATCTAGCAGCGATATCTTTTTTGATTTCAATTTTTTAATAGCAATCAATGTATCTCACTGTAGTACGGTTTACTTTGAGCATGGCTTGACCATTTTTTTATTCTACAGCAGTCCACTGTGCAAAATGGCGACCCAGATGCAGGCAAGTGATGTCCAGCTGAAGCTTGAGAATGGCACTTACTCTCTGATGCTAGAACCGCTTGTTCTTGCGTTTGACGACTCACACGAGGTTTATTTACACAAGGATGGACCGAATCAAGATTTTATAAAACATCTACAAGGGCTGGATGATTGGCCAGAAAAAAGTTTTCCAACCCAGAAGCTGAAGGCATCTGGATACCGAGACGAGTTTAACCTGGGAATTATCTACTCAAGATATTTCGAGTCCAGGGAGAAGCTGGATTCCCTGTACTCTCAGCAGTGGCAATCTGAGAAACCATTTAATCGGAACAAGAAAGTGGAGACTGTGGAAAAAATTTCATTTCAGAAGGCCTTGGAACTTCTGTCTGTGAAGATCTCCTGCAACATGGATTATTATTTGGCAAATCACGAAGAAATGGAAAAGGATTTAGGACGAAAGTTAGGCAATTTTGATCGAGATGATGAGAAATTAGTGAAAGGTTTGGAACAGGAGCTGTTTTATAACCAAGTAATTAAAATTATCGGAGAAAGCGAGGATGATGACCGGGCTACCTTTTCAGTGATGGTCAAAGACTTCAGGAATTTGTTTTATGATGGGAATAGCACGTTCGCTACAGCAAAACATGGAGAACATTACCTCTTTTTCCATTATCTTTATCCATAGTGAGCTGAAGTTGTAAACTTTGTACCGCAAGAGAAGGACGTTTGCTTCTAGTGAATTTGGTGCTGTGAATATATGTTTATTTATTAAACCTGCGAGCTGAAGCTGTAAACTTTGTACCGCAGGAGAAGGACGTTTGCTTTTAGTGAATTTGGTGCTGTGAATATATGTTTCTTTATTAAACATGCGAGCTGAAGTTGTAAACTTTGTTTGTACCGCAAGAGAAGGACGTTTGCTTCTAGAGAATTTGGTGCTGTGAATATGTTTCTTTATTGAACCTGTTGCCTTTATTGAACTTGTTGCCTTGATTTACGCTGTCGGTCGCAGTCAAATAAAAATGTGAATATCTTCTGACCTTGATTAGTCATTCATAAAATATTTTGGTTTAATGGAAGCTGTCGCGCTAGAAAAAACTCCTATGACTCTGCACTCAATTCAGAATGCCTTGAGAAATAAATATTTGTGGCCAAATTTTTTAGTCTAAAAATTTCATTGTACTCAAACCTGCGTTTCTGGGTCGTTTCTGGGTGGAATTGTGATAGAAATAATTCTCCTAATTTTGAGAGCACCTTTATCTTCTGCTTAAGCTTTAGCCAATATGCCCTTAGCATTTTCTTTAATTTCCATGAGCTTAGACCATTAAGCTACCTAGGTACTTCATAAATAACATTCACAACTTTCTATTTTTATCCCTTCATGGCTTTCACAGGTGAGGATTGGATACATTTTAGATGGAGAATTCTAATAAACTTCTAATGATTCCTCAACTTATTTTCCAATTATTGACAAATTTGTCGAAAGCAGCCACCACAGATTAGCATCTTATGATATTAATTTTCCTTAAAGATTTCTCTAATAGAAAATATATAAGTGGTGCAAGCTGCCAGCATCCATTATAAGCATAAAAGGGCATTCTTGATGCTTTTCTTTTTAGTTTAATTTCGGAAAACGTACTTCTCGTGGTGATCAACCAGAAAGAATAACCTCATCCCCTCAGGGTTTACGTTACGTTACTTTCTTAATATATAATGTCAGGTTGTGAAGCCGTAGCGGTTAAATTTGGCGCGTAGTTGGTTCTCGAGGTGGCCGCAACGAATAAACAAGAAGGTAAAAATTACAACCCTTGAGAAATTCAGCACTCCCTATATTATAAAAAAGCTATCCGTTTACAGGGCCGCTTTTGCATCAGTCGATTTTTTCACGGCTTACGGGACAACTTACAGCCTGGGCAAATGACACGACCGACAAGATAATCTAGAACCTAGGTAAATGTCACGACATACAAAGTAATCTTGAGCCTCGATGAATTAGTGACACACAAAAAGAACACGGTAATAGCAAAGGAATTCCCAAGCAAATAGCGGCTCTGCCCCATTAAATTCCCAACGAGTATATCACCGGCTTTGTGACGGAGGCGTGGGTTGGACTTGCGTAGATTTGAAACTAGCTTCTTAGCAGGTTGGTGTTATGTGAGGGACGACGCGGTGCGGTTGCTGGTGACGATGGAGCTTCTCCTTGATAGTGCCCCCCTGAGAAATCTGCGTATCGGTTTTTTCATGGTGGACAGCATCGAATACGTCACTGCAGATACTTTCGAAGATGTAATTCGGTTTCTTCTCTGTAGATAATTTGAATACTTCGCTGTCGATACTTTCGATGATGTAATTCGGTTTCTTCTCTGTAGATAGTTTTGAATACTTCGTTGCAGGTGCTTTCGAGTATGTAATTCGGTTTCTTCTCTGTAGACACTTGCGGAATTCTTGGCTCCGATGGCAATTTCTTATCCCGTGCGTCACAACTGCTGATGCCTCTTAATACTGCCGTAACAACCGTGGTTAACAAACACTTTCGACTGTCTCTTTGACCTACAGGTACATCTCACAATTCTGTATACCTCACAATACGCCGGGCGTCTATTGACCGGCCGCTTGGTAGACCACTGTTCAAGACTTCACTCCAGGTTCAACTGACTCCCATAGCCGTAGTGACTAGTGCGCCGCGCTTGATTAGGAATGATGATTAGGAATAAGACAAATTATAAATAAAGTTTATGATTATGGGATGATTAAGAATAGGAATAAATTATAAACAAGAATAGGAAACGCGGACTTAGGGGAAAACACATGTCGTCAGGGAAATTTAAGTGACGCCTCGCGCGGGTGGCGAGCTGGGCTAGATAAAGGAGCGAGGTAGAAGCAGAGGAAGCGGAGTTAGCATCTACCAGAGCTGGGAGACAGTCGAGCTGTGTGTAGAATCTTAGTGAGTCAGTCGAGAGCAGGTGCTCGTAAAATCCGCATGTCGTTCTGTAGCGCGACCAAAAACTGAGTGTGCCGGTGTGCAATCGTACTAGGATTCACGGAACAGTGAATACTTCCAGTGAACAAGCCAGCCGCGTACGAAATATTGCCGCGAAGAAACACTACCGACGAAGAAATCGTGGAACGGACCCGGGAGATTTCCCCGACCAATTCTCATCGAACAAAAGGAAGCTCCGACTAAATTGCCGCCGAGATAGAGTTGTATTTCCAGCATCTACGGAGAAGAAATACCCACGTGTACTACATTAATCCACGACGCCACCACCCGGAAGAACCCCTCAAAACCCTACTCGGAGGACCCCGAGTTGCTCAAGCCCCAGAAAAAAAATCGCCCCGGGGAACACTGCTGGAGCAACTGCCAGGGCTCACACCGGAGCTTCGTCGTCATGAAAACACTGGATCTTTAAGCGCTCATGGGCCGCTAGATTTGCACGCGAACTCAAATCATTGGAATACAATTTTGGCACTCCCAGCAAGCTAACTTTACAATACTGATACTTTAAATTGACAATTGAACTTTACACTAGTGAATACATTGAATCTGACACTCAAGACCATAAAATTGGCGAAATTGACAATTGAACTTTACACTAGAGAATACCGTACATTGAATCTGACGATCAATACCATCAAATTGGTACTATCACGTGACTCAACACTCTTGGGACGTAACGATTTGAAAGCCAAATCCTTTCGTTAGCGTAGACGAGTGCGATTCACCGCTCCACCACGTCTTCTGAGTCTGCGAAGTCGTCCGTGAGCCCTTGCTTCTTGGCGACCGAGATCGACTCGAGGAGCTGGCCGCGATCCACCGCCTGGGTCGACGAACTCTCATCGAAGGAACTGAGAACTTGTTTCATGCAGATCGGTTTCAAATTTTGCTGTCGACGTGGACGCCACGTCTCGAGAGCAGGCGACTCCAACAACCCTCACTGATCTCTGTGTAGGATTCAATTCAAGAGGTGTTGTACCCGCGCTCTGAGCGTGAGTAGATATCGGCGATGTTATCACATGACTCCGCTGAGTAGCCGATGAATGTGAGATTAAGTGTATGCAAGACCGGTAAGGCGCTCCGCTGAGTAGCCGATATAGGCGAAACTGGCACCGCGCTCCGCAGAGGAGCCGATGTTGGCGAAACTGGCACCGCGCTTCGCGGAGGAGCCGATGTCGGCGAGGTCGCTCTGGGACCAGGAGAACAAACAACTCTGCTCGGGGCCTCAAGCACGGTCGACACAGATAAACTTGTGACTGCTACCGTGTCCTCGGAACGAACCACTGTGTTTGACGCTTCGGTATGATGCGGCGCTGATGAAGGAGCGACCGCACCCATGCCCTCAGACCGAGCCGCTGTGCTCGACGTCCCAGCATGATGCGGCGCTGACGGGGAGACCGCAAAAATGCCCTCTGGACGAGCCACTGTGCTCGACGCTTTGGCATATGACGAGTGGCGGTCGTCTGTCTTCTTAGAGGATTGATTCTATTCGGAAATCAGCATGTATTTCGAGGAGGCTCTCATGACTGGCGTCTGGGCGACATTAATTACACCGAACTTGGGAGATTTATAAGGTTCGTACAGACCATGGAAAATATGAAATGTTCTGGAATTTAATTTTTCATTTTCCAGGCCTAAAAAGTACTGGAATTTCATTTCAGATTATGGAAAATACTGGAATTTGCAAAAAAGTAAAAAAAGGAAGTATTTTTCTGTGCTGCGTGTGTTAACCCTAATCGCCACGGGTTGTCGTGTCACGCTACAACCTCGGGTGCAAATGATATCTGCCCTTAATTTTGTTAAGTATTTATTAGGTGTCTTCTATTTTACATACGCTGCGATTATTTTACCAGGTATTAATATAGATTGTTTCCTATCAAATGCAGTCTTCAAACGCACAATTGTGAACTCGAATCCATTATTGAAAATTATGAGAATGATGGGACCGAATTTCTGGCCTCAAGCAGAGCCATCTCCGTGTACAACTTCGACCGCTCGAACTTGTGTCTATGTTACCCATGGGGAGGAGACTGTAAGTCATTCACGTGTGCGTGTGCCTGAGATATCGCTGGTGAATGTGCAGCTTCAGCACTTGCGCACCTGCATCCTCATCGCTAGTTTCTATCAAAGTTTCTTTGTTCCTATAGTTTTTTTATCTCATTGTCTGTGACTTCGTTGTCCGCCATTGAAAGAACTGCATGAAATGAAACGCATTAGCGGAGCGGGAAGCTCGAGTACCTCCCTGAAGTTCCAGCTAAAACATTATTGATCCAACGCCGAGAATAGATATCAGTTGAAGAGTATCTCGACAGACAAGGCTGTGAGATTTGTGGTTATTTTTACGGTGGTTATTAGACACTAAGGGCGTTTTCCCGCTAACCCTACGCGATTAGCAGTCTCTTCTTGCGTTCTGATTGGTTCTCCAATCACGTGATTGTCGGTCATGCTACTGGAGAACCAATCACGTGAGCTCGGTCACCAAGCTCAGTTGCATTCGAAACTATTTGATGTGCAGAGGCAGCCTTCCATCTTAAGCGTGCAATTTCTACATGCTACATCACCATGCGTGGAAAGTGTAAATTTCATGACTTGTGGTTAAAAATAGAAGCTTATTGTGACTGGCTTGCTCGCCATCCCAAGCATGAAGGTTTGGCGATATGTACATAGTGCTCGAAAGGCTTCGATGTGTCAAATATGGGGGAAGCAGCTTTGAAAAGCCATGCCAAAGGCAGTAAACACACCAAGTTAGCTAAGCAACACAGTGAAGTGAACAGCAAAGCGCAGTTACGCGTTTCCGATTTGTGGTCTGATGACAGCAATGCAACTGCAGTTTCTTGCTCCAAAAGTGTATCAGGGAATAGTCCGTCGCAAAAGTCAGCACGCATCAGCACTGCAGTGTCTACTGCCACTGTGAATGTAGAGACGGAGAGCAGGCCTGTATCCACTGTCGAAGCCAACCCCAATGCCGAACTAACCAGCTTTGTAACAAAAGAAGATGTTCTGACGTCTGAAATTTGATGGGCATTGAAAATGGTGACATCTCACTTTTCTTTTAAAAGCTATGGAAAAGTGATTTAAGTGAGCAAGCAGCAGATGAATATGCAGAAGCAATGGAGAGAAAGGGGGATTTGAAAATAATCGCAAAGTTCAACCCCATGAGGCGATCTCTGAAAACAAAGCAACATGAGCTAGACACTCTTGAACTGAACATTAAAGAAAAAGTTGATGAAATAACTGCCAGTTGAATGTTAGGGTAGTGGTGTTGAATCGTGTTTTGAACTGTATTGACATTATCATGTGCAATATTGTGTGCATTACTCAATATTTGTTGTGATATGACACTATTGAATTCATAATAATAAAAGTGTGGGCTTGATTTCCAGATTTGTGTCATTTTGATCCTCTGTGTCTGCCCGCTCATTGTATTTACACGTTTGCTAGTTATCAACTTTAGGAGATAGAATATGCACGGTTAAGGTGCCTGTACACAGGAATAGTACTAGCCGCTAGTTCATCCGGCGCTTGAACTGTCCACGCTACTAGCCTCGTGTATAGGGGTTCAGCCGCTTCAGAGGCATGCGCCGGCAAGTGCTCGAGGCGCGGCCGAGAAAGACAACGATGTGTTGATATCTTGGCTGGAGAAGTGGCTAGTAGCGCTGATGCAGCCATGGTGAGAGCATCTGTGCCGCTCCTGTGAAGTACGTATCTTGGGTCACGTAAATCATGGCTTGTTTGAACGATAATGTTTCTAAGAGGAATCCAACAAAGTGGATTCCATACGATATTCAATTATTCTTTGAAATATTCCAAAAAATATGAATTAAAGTATAATGTTTTCCATGATGGTTACTCCAACAAAATGAAGAGAGAAACGAGTATTTTGAAGCGGAAAGAAGACCTTATTAGTCAGGGTTTAGTTGTTCCCGACGCTGTATTTTTAAGGGCTAGAATATGGAGTATAAAAAGGACGTACAGACTCGAGTTGTTGAAGGTGATCACACTATCCATCTTCACAGACCTCACTCGACGGCTTCTAACGACTCACTGGCGGGCGCGAACGAGAAGATAGCGGCACCTTATACTCTCCTCGTGTGTACAGGCTTACTAGCCGGATAGTCACCAAGCAACCGACACTAGCCAGATTTACTAGCCGTCTGCACTATCCCTGTGTACAAGCACCTTTACTCTTTCAGTCATGCTAAACATGTGGTATACGAGTCCTGGAAAATTATATTGATGATCATGGAGAGTCCTGGAACTTTTTTTCTCAATATCGGTACGCACCCTGGATTTGGTGCGCTTAGATTCTGCGTTCACGACAGGCACATCCACACGCTCTGCTGCAGGATCAATTCTGATAGCGATGGAGGAAGCCAGACAACCTTCTCCAAAAACCTACTCGAGAATGAACGGATCGAGATGAAATGCTCCCAGCGCCGATCTGCCCTGAGTCCAGGGTTGGCAATGATTAAATCAAACTGATTAAATCAATTGTTTTTTGTAAAAAATCATGATTTTTTACATATTTAAATATAATGAGTGGCAGTCTTCAATTTATTCTGATGTATTGTTATTCATGGTTTAGTATAAATGTACTAGATGACAAATTGGAATATAAACCTGTTGCCTTTAATCTTAGTGTGTATTACGTTCCAATGAATTGTATATTTTTGGTACAGAGGCATCACGTGTTCAATACATTGTACATATAACATAGTTAGCAGCTTAGCTAATTCTTGTATGGCTATAAGTAGTCTTTAACTATTTGTTATATATTAATGACAAACAATTTACATGTGTTAGCTAGCTTATATAAGAAGGGTTGGTTGAGATTGTACATATTGACCTTTTGGGCATTTAGAAAGATTTTCCACTCTAATAATGAGTACCGTCAAGTGGGGTGACTTCGGCCACCACTACAACAGAAACAAATGGCAGCAAAACACAATAATAAACGTTAACCAAAGTGCCTGGGGTGATTTTGGACTCCGGGTACGCAGCCGTGCACCACCAAATTTGTGCACCAATCAGCCTTGAAAGGAACGCCTAGCATATTTCCGGATGGCCACCAATCAGGCGTGGATTAAACGGGACGCCTGTCGGAGACCACCACTGCCGTGCTTCGAATGGACTATCATGATACCTTCCCTGAAGAACGTAGCCTACAACACATCTTGACTGTAACGTTATCAGCCGCACGCCACCAGACAGATCACATCTATTGAATTAGATCAATCAGCCCACAGGAAATTAAGTCTGGCGTCGTATGGCCCAGCGTCGTCTGCCAACAAGCGAAAAAATTTTACACCACCCGGACTGAGCGCGCCGGAGCCGTCCGTATCTGTCCCGTGTGTCGAACCAGCCCACGGTCGAACGGCCACGCGTCGTACGACGAAAATTTTACGCCACCACATTCTGAAGCGAATAGCCCAGAGAGTAATGGTTGTCCACCACTGAACGTTGCATCGAATCGTCACTTCATACCCTGACTTTAGCTCGAACTGTAACTTGCGGACAACGGACTACGACCAACCAGCCCAGGTCGCCAGTGGAACTGCATGCATCCTGCCGTGCACCACCAGACCGTCACTTTTAGCTCACGACATTGGGGTTAGGTTTCAGAAAGCATAGTTCTGTTACAAAATCTATCGTCCTTCGACGAGCGACTTCCACAGCTTCGCTAAATTACGTAACTTTTAGCTCACAGCATCTGAGGTTAGGTTTCAGATAGCATAGTTCTGTTCCAAAATTTATCGTCGTGCGACGCGTGGCCATTCGACCGTAGGCTGATTCGACACACGGGACAGATACGGACGGCTCCCGCGAGCTCCGACCGGGTGGTGTAAAAGTTTTTCGCGTATCGGCAGACGACGCTGGGCCATACGACGTCAGGCTTATTTTCCTGTGGGCTGATTGGTCTAATTTAATGGATGTGATCTGTCTGGTGGCGTGTGGCTGATAATGTTACAGTCATGAAGTGTTGTAGGCTACGTTCTTCAGGGAAGGGATCATGATAGTCCATTCGAAGCAAGGCAGTGGTGGTCTCCGACAGGCGTCCCATTTCAATCAGTGTTAGCTTTTCACAAAAGTCTCGTTTCAAGTCGTTTGAGGTTTGTTTGGTTGTCGTTCAGTTTGTTTAGTATTGGTTAATTGGTCTGAATCAAATGAGAACAGTGCAGTCAGTCGCTCAGTCACTAGGTACTAGTCGGTGTGTTTAGTGGGTAGAGTCTTGTAGATTTAGAGGACATAAAACTAGTAGATCTATTGATAGTGTTGTGCACTGTGCTATCAGCTACCTATCTGTTATGTGACTCTTCAATGTTCAGATGATCTGCATTCCTAAAGTGTTGTTGTATATTGAGGCCAGTTAAATGGTCAATATTTGTACTCTTTACCTTGCTCCATACCTACAAATTTTACAAAGCTAATGAATAGACTTATCAATAATTGTTTACCCAAAAGTCCCAAAGTGGTAAACACTGCCTTGCCATTCTTGTAGGCAATAACTACACTTTTTAGCCATCCAAATACTGTTATTGTTAGTATGCTAATTGCAGCATATAAGAATAACATTTCAAAAAGACAGAAAAGCTGAAAAAAAATCAAACAAATAAAAAAATCATGAAAAATAAATTTTCTATTACACCTCCTCCGATGAAACAATTTTCTCCACCACCCCAATGAAAGCGTTTTTACTTCACCGCCAGGATAAAAACGTCTCTTACTTCACCGCCCGGTTGAAAACGTTTTTATTTCACCGCCAGGATGAACTTCACCGCCCGTACGAAAAATGTATTTTACTTGATGAAAACGTTCTTCACTTTACCGCTCGGATGAAAACGTTTTCAACTGTCGCGGCATGCTTCCTAAATTATTACGGTCTTCACCGATTATAGGTACCATTCGCCTTACGCCGACTTGACAGTGATGAAGAAAGAAAAGAGAATCCAAATTCACCATTTATTCTACCTTGTCAGCATAAAAAACCTGCACATATAGAATTGCATCATAACTATTGCATCAATTTTGTTATTCTATGAGCGTTTAAATAGGCATGATTAACTAATTATTATTGCATTGAACATAAATATTCGGAATGTACTACAGCATTAAATAAAGAGAAATTTAAAAACTTTTCTTTCTCAGAACAAAAGCCCAAAGTATGGAGCCCAAAGTATGGACATTTCACAACTTCCAGCGATTCAAACTAATTTAAGCTGTATGTCAGAGCACAAGAAATCAGCTACATAAGATAGGCAACTAAGCTAGTAATCTTAGTTAGTCTCTCAACAGCACCAATCACACGACGTCAGAGCAGGCGTGCCTTTTTTGAATGTCAAGACGTGGTTTATCCATCTGGCGGCCGCGGGCGAATAAGGAGCGCACAGAAAGAATATTTAATGACTGCTTCTCGTGCAAACTTCCATCATACATCACTTTGTCAAAATGAAAAACATGAGCTCTCTTCTTTGATATCACTACAATAGTGGAAACAATACAATGACTCCTATTACTTGACTCAGCTTTCTGCTCTGCCGACCGAAGTACGGCGACCCTCACTCTATGGCGGCATTCTTTAAGAGGGCGCGCGTCCCTCACTCTAAACAAGAACCGTCAATATTTGTAATTTATTGATATGTTCTTCTACAGCATTGCGACATTCATGCATTCACTCGATACAAAATCACTCTCCTAGTGACACAATTCATGAAATAATAATCATAAGACACAAGAAGGTCTCCTGTCTTCGTCCTAGACAAACGAAGACACGAGCACTTAACAGGAGAACCGTGAGCGACTAGCGCTTGGCAGCACTGAGCTCGCGGTGACGTGCCTGATGGTTACGCTCTGGAGCGTTTTCGTACGTCTAGCGTTTACATTATACTTTTACACGTTCAAGTGAACGTGACAGGCAATGCCGAGTTTGCTCTCCTGGTCGACTGGCTCCTTTTTCTCTATTTCCTCCATGACGACCTTTTCACCCTCATCAGTTTTTGACAGCTTGCCATCCTTGTCCTCGTTCTCACTGATCTTCTTGAGCGCGGCTTCTTTCAGAAGTTTTTCCACCCGAGGAGACACAATGCCTCGCTCCTTGTTAGGCTTCATGAGGTAGCCGCCGTCTTGTATCATGTCTACCACGTAGATCACGCCCGTGCTGCCCACAGCCACTGCGAGCCAAGCACGTCAATGTTTCTACACTGCATCAATGGGATTTTGCGATTCCAAATGGGAATCGCATACAGTAACTTGAACTAATCCAATCAAATCATTTACTAGGAAATTTATTTTTAATTTGAATTTCAAATGAATAATTAATAAGCATTTAAAAATTACTTTTCAAAGACAACACTTCTGAAGAATCCAGTGTCTTGATTGGATGTTACACATGTACAGGGTGTTTCAGAATTAAGTAACCCTTTTAATTTGTTAATAAATAAAAAACTAAGAACGTTATGAAGTTGAAACTTGTTTTATTTAAAAGAAGAACATTTTCATGGTAATATTGTATCATAGTTACGTCATTATCCTGTATAGCTTGCTAAATTTGTGTTTAATTATCAAGCCTTAAATTTTCATCATGATTCGCTACAGCAAAGAAGAAAGAACAAAAATTATCGCTACAGTCAATAACGATGTCAATAACAGAAGTTCAACGTGATTACAGGATCCATTTCAAAACAAGGATCCTTCAAAAAACACATTTAAATATCTTTATCGAAAATTTGCGGATATCAAAAATTTGCACTCTCGTCAGAAACACTAATGAAGGTTATGAAAGCAACGAAGAAAAGAGCCCTATTTTGTCAAAACAATTGTGGTGGGCATTTAAAAGATATTATATTTAAAAACTAGGATACAATATTACCATAAAAATGTTCTTCTTTTAAATAAAACAAGTTTCAACTTCATAACGTTCTTAGTTTTTTATTTATTAACAAATTAAAAGGGTTACTTAATTCTGAAACACCCTGTACAATGAATTTCTAATTTTATTTTAAAATATAAAAAAAAACTATTTTTCAATAATTTTTTTATGATATCAAAATTTTGTAAATTTTCAATGTTATTTATTCTGTCAACTGATTCAGTTATTGTCTCTGAATTTATGCAATTGTGCAAAATTTCAGATCGATTGGTCAGGTCAAATTGTGTCATATATGGATTATAAGATTTGTAGCAGAAGAAATCATTTTAAATTTTTTTTACGCAAGTATGCAAAATTTCAGATCGATTGGACAGGTAGGTAGAAGTGTGTCAAATATCGATAATTTGTGGCTGACAAAATTATTTTTAATTTATTTAATATTTAAAAATTTTTTTAATTTTTAAAATCATTCATCATGCATTGTCTCTAACATAATGCAAGTCTGCCAAATTTCAGATCGATTGGACAGGTAGAAGTGTGTTAAATATCGATTATAAGATTTGTAGCAAACAGACAGACAAATAACAAGAAGTGAAGTTAAAGAGAAGTGTTGTAAAAACAACTCTGTTTTCAGAATTTACCGTCTATATAAACAGGAAAAATCGGTTGAAAAAATTGCAACAGTCTGCTAAGTGCACCAAGGAAAGGAAAGTCCAAGGGGCTTTTATTTAGTATTAGAAACGTGAGTGGAGAATGAGAGTAAATTAGAAGCAATAACAGAGAGAGTGATACTCACGGCTGAGACATATCAAGTTGAGCACTTCCATCATCAGGTAGCCGTAGTTGTCAACTAAAAATCCTGATAGCATGCTGATCAGCGCCAGCCCCAGGTTTAGAATACTCTGCATTCTGCAGAAACAAGAAACTTCAAAGCAGGAAAGTACATAAAATAGAAACATCAGCAAGGTCTTAACAAATACGAAAACGAGGGAAAATTAACAAGCTAAAAAGCTCAGTCAGAGGTTTATAATTTATATAAAATCCTGACGATGGAATTGAATGCAAATTAATTGCAAGCGTGCATTGTAAAAATAAAAGCAATTACGGGAGTGTTGAGCAGGGAACCCCCAAAATTTTTTATAGCGGAACTTTCTGCATCAATGAATAAGTAACCAAAACAATATGAAAGTTTTTCAGAGAAAGTGTTACCAATAAAGCTGCGTTTTACTTTTTGGAATTTCCAAGTGCCTAATGAAAACAACTCATGACGTTGCCGCCCATAACAGCCACTAATTCTCACATGCCGTAAGCAGTGCCCAGCTGCGACTCAGGCAGGATGAGAGCCACCATTGGCCAGAGAGAGCACGCCAACAGCGAGCAAGACAGGCTCATTATGCACTGAAATATAGTTCCAAGTGTGCATCTGTGCATCATTTAAGAGTAACTTTCACGACTGATGCTCTTCAAGGCTGATAAATTCCTGCAATCAATTAATGTAAAGATGAAAACAGATGTGAAATTTAATTCCAATGCTGACTTGAAAAAAACTGACAATAAAGGCACAGGGATGCAATAATGTTATACAGTACAGGTTCCTTAAGAAATAATTTACGACGTAGCAAACGATAGGTTAATTAAATTATTCAAGGAGATGTGATGTTAGCAGCGGCAGTAAGTGAACTTTAGCTACAACAGTTCTGTCTGTTTATAATTTTAGAGAAATGATTTTACCAACGGACCATAGGGATGTAGGGGTTGATGAATGTGAAGGCCATGATCGCATGTGCGCCCATGGTTCCAAGGCAGGCAAGGCCAACCCACATGATGTTACGTCCCGTCTTGTCCACAACAAAGCCAAACATTGGTGACGCAAACGCTGAGATTATGTTCGCGACGCTGGATACAGAGTTTGCTTTAGCACTGCTTAACCCGTACTTGTACATGAAGAAAACTCTGTGCAACAAAACTGTCATAAGTGATACAAACCTTATACTTATAAATAGATAACCATAGCGCAACACATTAGTTTGCGTAAAAAACCATCTGCTAAAGATACTTGAAAACATTGAATCGAAGTAAAGAGAGTAAAAGAATCATATACTGGTTCCTATTCTGTGACGCGCCGAAATACAATCAAGAAGGAAATACTAGCTTACCATGAGTCATAGACTGCATATGAGTGTTAACCATAATATTCATACAATTCGCAAGAACTGATAGAATGCCTTAGATTTTAGGAAATATTTTGTATCAAATAATTATACACGCACTTGGAGAGTCCAATAAAAGGGTAGATGGTAGGGTAGAAGGTGACACAGGTAATACTGATCAGCCAGAAGCTCAGCGGGAATTTACCGATATCTTTCAGTTGAATTTTCTCTCCAACTTCAGCTGATGCCACACGTAGAACCTTGCTTCGTCTTCTATCTAAGATAGCAAGAACTATGGCGCAAATGAGCGAGAAAACGCAAGTGAAGCCACCTGAAAAAAACTCACTTAAGCTTCTAAGTAGGAACGTCTCAACGAAACAATTCATGATAAGAAATGTGTATGATTCTAAATTATTTACCCTGAATGATCAAAATTGAGAATAAAAATTTTGGCTATTCACATAATCATAATGAGGTAGGCAACAGAGTTGTTAGAATTTGAAAACCTCATTATTCAGCAAATCATTCAATACTTGTAAGCATAGTTAGTTCCACATGTCTTTATAGAGCCTACAACAAAAATTTAAGTTACACCAGTAACTGCACAACAATGGTCAAGAACATTCAAACTTGATAATTTGTAATTAATAAAAAATAATTATGATCCTGTTCGTTGCACTCATACTGATGTTTATTGTAACACGACCCTTGCAGCCTTACCGACGGCGAGGGTAATTCCCAACGCAACATGCCCGACGTGCGTCTGATCAACCCAGTTATAGATGGGCTCCATGACAAGGAAGTTGACGGTAGAGGCAACCATGGTCATGGTACTTATTAGGCCAAACACGGTGTTCAGCTCCTTGCCTTTAAACCAGCTTACGGCGTAGGCACTCTGTGCTATTATCAAGCTCTCACCACCAACGCTGTACAAATTCAAACCATTAACTTCATAAATAGTGAGATGGAATCATTGACTCGGAAGAAGTACACTATTCAAAGCAATTGTACATACAGAGGGATAAATGCTCTAACTAAGAATATTCTTTTAAGAGTTTCTCTTTTGTATGAATTCACACTCCGATGAAGGGAGGCATTCTGACTGGCATTCTGGCACTTTGAATTCCTAAATTCACATATTAGGTTATCAAGATAATTTTTAATTCAAATATTAGGTTATCAAGATTTCCCATTGAAGAATACCCAAAAACTAGTATTTTATAAGAATAAGAATAACCTGATCACTTATCGTGACAAACCCATAAACAAATCGACCAAGTTGCATGCACCAGAATGCATTAATAAGTGCACCAAACGCAAAGATGAAGTGACCAACAGTCACAATTGTTGAGAAGATGAGCGTACCCAGTCTGATCCCGAATATTCTGCAGAGAAAAGAATGAAATATATGAATGTTTCATATATTAATAGATTTATTACAACAGATGTAGCAAATAATAATAAAAGCATCAAGAATAGAGGTCAGGTGGCATTTGTCAAAAAGTTTCCTCAATAATTTCTGGGATCAAAAATTCACCATTTTGGTGCTTTATAGAAATGATGTTGAATTTAACAACCTGAGTTGAAATTACAATAAATCAGATGCAAAAATCACAAAGCTTCATGTCCTTTCAAAAAAAAAAAATTATAAACAATATAAAGTTTAAAATATGCTTTAGTTAAACACATTTGTAGAATTAATGTCATCATATTATTGCTTGCCTATCAATGAGGAAGCCACCAACAAAGCACAGCACAACATTTGGCCATGAGTATAGAGAATACAGGGTGGAGAACTGCAGAGTTGAGACATTCATATCTGTCTTGATCTCGTTTTGTAAGGATGCTGGACTGTAGTAACAGAAGGTGTTGCCTGCACACAAGTTACATGTGAGAACAATGCTTTCAAGCATTACTGATTCCAAGTTGTGAAATGCAAAAAATTACTTTAAACAATCGATTAGTGGCATAATAATAAATAAATGCATCAAAATAAACTTAATTTATCTAGCATAGTGAAATTTTTGACACAATAAAGAAGGGTTTTGAGAGAAAACTCTTCCAATGTATCTGATTCATTGCTTCAAGTTATTGAACAAGTTCATGGTAGTGAAGATTTCATTACTAGAAGCCTAATTGCTTCCTGGTACCTACAGAAGATGTTATAAATTACCAAGGTTTACAAGTTTAATAATAGGTAATTAATCAATAAGAAAGGAGTCAGAAAACAACAATTTTCTTCTAAAAGATTACAAGCCACAGATATTTTAATTTCTGTATAAGCTTATATATAGAACAGCAAGATGTTTCTATTGCAATGCCATAAATAAATTTTGGATTCTTCTAAGTAATAAGAAACATCAGTTGTATGATAAACATGTACTAACCAAAACCAATGAAGCAAATGAAGATAAAACCCACTAATCTATAGGGGCCTTGTTTGGGATCACAGCAGCGGGATCCCAAGCAGCCTGTCTCAGCCACCCAAGATCCTTCACTGATGCTGGGGCTTTCTCTTCCACTGCCATTTGTCTGATTCGTGTCTGCAATGAACATCTCAGCATGATTTACATTTACAAGTATACAAGTTTTAAAAAATGGCGATAATTAGGATTTTTTAAAATAAATAACTAAAGATATTATTTGAGGTGGGTAACAAGTAAAAGTATGCTTGCATAAGTAGATCTCACTTGAATTTATAAAATGCAGTTACTGTATGAAACATTTTCTGTCATGAGTCTCTCAGATATTTGTGGTAGATGACTAGATGTCAATAAAATCCAGATCTCATTTTAGTACCTATACTTCTTATTGGGAGTCCATCTTCACCTGAACATGATGTTCTCTGCAAAACAGAGTTACATCAGAGGCAGAACTTATATAAAAATTAAGGTAATTTCTCTGAACGGTCCGTCAGCAACAAATGAGCTATTCAAGGCAAAAAAAAAAAAAAAATTATTCAGATTTCTACCTAGGCAAAAGTAATCTTTAACATGAAGAACTACCTTGGCGTGGCACATCAAAATAATATCTTGTCAAAGAAACATTCCCGTCAAGGTTATACAGACAAATAATACAGTAAAAACTGCCTGGTTAAGTTACACAAAAGGGAATTTACAATAGCAATTAATTCAAAATCCATTGGCATTTAGATGCATTAGCACAATCACTTTGATTGTTCAGTGAGCTAGAAGATCAGTAACACCAAACAGAGCAATGAATGACAGGTGGGGAAAATCTGGATAATCTCATAAAAATGTTGTGGCAACTAAATTAATTGGAATATTAAAAATTTAAAAATAGTGGTGAAGTTCAACATTTTTCCTATCTATGATTCTATGTAGCATATAGAAAGTTAGAAAATCATGCATTTACTGCCTCTAAAAATCCCTTAAGAAGAGTGAAAAGTGAAATTTTGGAACAGTACCTCATCTAAGGTCTGTAGCAAAAAAATACTTGCCAATTGTTTTTTTTACCTTGTTTGGAACATTTTTAACAATTTGGGCCTTCGGATCTTCCCTGAAGCCTGAACATTTGAGTGAACAAGTCAAGAAAAGAAGAAGAATTGGAAACAGGCAATTGGCCTATATCTTCAGGCCTTCAGCTCAGCACCCTGCACTGCAGCACTGACACTTCTATTCTAAGTCACAGATAGATGGAATGACATTAAATGATTGATGATAAAATCTTCAAGAAAAATAGGCTATTACCATCAGTTAAAGGACTTCCAGCTGGCTTGCTGATTTCTTGACCAGTACCTTCTTCTTGACTGTCACTCATCTCAGCCAGAAAATAGATTGACTGGAATAAATAATTGCTATTTAAAAGCTTTAGCAAAGAAACGCAGCAGTCAGTGTTTAGTGACAAGACCAACTTCTGACCAAGGTCACTCACAATCAAACGAACGAACAGGAGTGCAGCCGTGACCCGTGAACTACTAATTTTGTGCACCAATCAGCCCTGAATGGCTTCCCTACTTTATTGCCTACCTAGCAATAGCATATTTCCATATGACTAGTGCTAGTGGTGGGCACTGGGCACAGCCATGGTTGAACTACGGTAGTATATAGTTGTTGTTGTTGTTAGCAGCTTGAAGGTGAGGAAGTAGCTGCCTGATGACCACTTGTTACACCTGGACTCAGCAGGATTTACTTGGAAAGTTTCAGTATTATTTCACTGGTTCTTTGAGATCTTATTCAATGGTTAGGAGCTGCAAGGCCACAAGTGAATCTGAGAAAATGACCCAGTATAGAGATGTCTCACCTACAACGAGCTTCAAAGCATGTAATATGGCAATCATAGTATATAGTTAAACCATGGGCACAGGCGCACAGCTAACCAAAAAGTTAGCTTTGATAATCGTTAATCCGCTAACTGAAAAGTTAACTCTCATAACGCTAAACCAATAAATTGCCGACGCATTTAGCTGAATTTACTGCTAATTACTATCTCACAGTAGCTACATCAATTTTGCTTTGGCTTAATTTTTGGGGGCTCTAAAACTTACTCTTAGATAAACAGACGTAGCCTACCAGAGATATGAACTTTTGATATGTTGTAGCATTGACAAGGAGCTTTTCAAAAAAGGGTTACAATGATAAGATCAGGGGTCGTATTATCAAAACTTCTTCTTTTCGGGGTGTCTACACTGGGTAGACTGTAGACATTTTAAAATTTGGTAGACATAGACGAAACATTTGCGCAGGAAGCTACGTAACGGGGTCGCCTGCCGAAGACCACGGGAGCGCAGCCGTGCACCACCAATTTTGTGCACCAATAAGCCCTGGATCTCTCCGGATATCCACCAATCAGCCGTGCACCACTCGGCTTTGTCCTCCTCCGGCCTTGACCACCACCTGCCGTGCACCACCAGGCCGCGNATCGAAATGCAAAGGAACAAGGTTTGGTAAAAATAGTTGGAGCTTTAAGAAACTTGTGTGTAGAAGTCACCATTGCTGAAGTTCGAAAGAAAATCCATACGTTGCGTTCACAATTCCATCGTGAAATTAAGCTGAAACGAGAATCGACCAAATCTGGCGCAGGTGCTGACCAAGTGTACAAACCGAAACAGTGCGAAACTATGGTGGTTTGAATCATTCATGTTCATCAATGACAGCGATGTTCTTCGTCAGTCAATGTCTACTCTCGATGAAGACATTCAGATTTCAAATGATGTAAGTTACTTTTACATGACGTGTTTAGTTTCTGTGATTTTAGCTACTACTGTCTGTTAAGTATTTATGCATTACCGTTTAGCGATTTGAAAGAATGATATAATATTGGTACGAATATTGTAACTTTTTATTTAGGTCTAGGCGGTAACTACTGTTCAAAGCGCGCGGTCTCGAGCTATCGCTTACAAACGTAGTGTGAACGGTTGTACGCGGTGAGGCACTGCAGAAAATGACTCAAAGCGCATGTCGTTGCCACTAGTGTGAACGGGCCTTTAGAACTAGAAGCCGCAGACTGTGCTTGAACTCCGTAATCCAGACAGGCGCCACACTGCCGAAAGATAATAGCGCCGTGTGTTTTCAGCCAATGCTTAACCCTAATCGCCACGGGTTGTCGTGTCACGCTGCAACCTCGGGTGCAAATGGTTCTGCCCTTAATTCTGTTAACTATTTTTTAGGTGTCTTCTATTTTACATACGCTGCGATTATTTTACCAGCCATTAATATAGATTGTTTCCTATCAAATGCAGTCTTCAAAAGCGCAATTGTGAACTCGAATCTTTTTTAAAAATTATAAGAATGAAAGGACCGAATTTCTGTCCTCAAGCAGAGCCATTCCCGTGTACAACTCCGACCGCTCGAACTTGTGTCCTTGTTACCCATGTGGATGAGACTGTAAGTCATTCACGTGTGCGTGTGCCTGAGAACATGTGCATATTTATCGCTGGTGCATGTGCAGCTTCAGCACTCGTGCACCTTCTGCATCCTCATCGCTAGTTTCTTTGTTCCTAAAGTTTTTTTTATCTCATTGGCTGCGAGTTCGTTGCCCGCCATTGAAAGAATTGCATGAAATGAGACGCATCAACGGAGCGGGAAGCTCGAATATACCATCAACCTCCGTTGCTCGTTGGACACTGCAATATCATGAGTTTTTTCTCTGCGAGAATACCAGATTGCCTAGCTCAAAATACCAGAAATATACCAGAAATTCTATTGTTCGAAAACTGACTAATACCTCCAAATTTAATGAAACTATTCGTCAGAAACGTTGGTTAGAAAAAGAAAAAATATAGATCTCAGTACTCACTGCAGTGACTGACAGAGAGCGCATTTTCTCGTCGACGGAAACGTGGTCACGGACGGATAGACGGTCGGACAGACGGACATGGTGAGCACAATAGTGCATTTTTCCATAAATGAGAAAATGCGCTAAAAAGTATTTCATGTACTGTGCATTTATCAGTGTGGCACTTCTTGAAGTTCTACCCCTTCGCTCAACATGAGCAAAGCCACGGAAACAGGTCATCTTCCATTTTCATACATGCTTGCATATTGCATTAATCTAAAATTTCGGGTTTGATCACTTGTTACGGCTGAGCAGATAGCTTTTGGTCCGAATAAGGGACTGCAGTACCTTAGTTGAAATTTTATTTCGTTACTTGTTTTTCACATAGGTGACTTGTGAAAACATTCACTCCACGAATGCATTGGAGACCTGGTCAAAGTAGACACGTGGTGCAGTAGGCAGCCAGTTCTATAAATGGATGATGATTTTCAAGATCAGTGAAATATTGTATGGCACCCCCGAATTCAAGTGGCACTCTATAATTCAAACCACCAAACAAAAATGGTGGAGCTTGCGTCGCAGAGATCGGTTCGACAACCTCACTCGTCCTAGGCCATATCATCACCGATCAGTAATCAATCAAGGATCATCACTCTCGTGTTCATATTGCACTGAGCACTTTTGTTAAATGCTAACAATTAGATTGGGGTTATTTCATCAAGCGGTAAACTTGCGGTTCTCCGCTCTGAAGGCAATCTACATAATCCACGCCTACGCTGGAGGAAGTTCAAACTTCAGAGGTGGAACTTAATGCAGTAAATTTGCAGTAAGTCAGAAAATACCAGAAAAATACCAGATTTAGGCATATATACCAGATCTAAAATATCCATACCAGACAGCTTCTGAAAATACCAGATTTGTGAAATCTGGTATAGAAATATACCATCTGGCAACGCTGAGTCCGACAGGGGCGTAGCTCGCTGCCGGCATGCGAGTACGCTTACTCGGTAGCAAATGTTTATACGTGGTTTGCTAAATGATCTACCTTATCATTATAGACAGAGCTGGGCAGCGCTACTTTGAAATGTAGCGGCGCTACCGCTACATGCTCTAAATTTAGCGGGCGCTACCGCTACCGCTACACCTACAGATTGTAGCGAGCGCTACCGCTACAGTAAAATGTAGCGCCGCTATATTAGCCGCTACAATGCCCAAAATTATTGGAAATCTCTAAAACTATTGATTTACTCATCATATTTGGGATTTACTCATAAACATTTAATGATAATGAAACATTTTCAAAACATATCAATGCAACTTTATTGCAATAAACCTAACCGAACTAGTACGGGTTAGATACAGTAAATAAAAGTTACAGTTATTTTTGTTTTTACCCTTCCCTACATGGATGTGTACTTTAATCTACCAATGTAAAAAACTATCCACAAAAATAAAAATCAGTCTTTTATTTGTATATATAAGTGGATTATTTTTGAGATTGGTAGATTAAATAGACAACCATGTAGGGAAGGTGAAACATAAAAATAACTGTAAAAATAACTGCAAGCAAACTGAAACATGAAAAAATACCTGTAAGTGGTAACTGGTAACAACTTAACAAGTAACAACTAACATGTTGACACTAGTAACAGGCTGAGGTTGACAGCATTACACCGAAATCTTTCGTACAGTTTTATTCTGTAATTAATATTAGGTATGTATCATGCTGATTTTTAAATAATATTCAATACTATTAAGTAAAATCTAAAGGCTTTATCTATAACTGTAGCGGTAGCGCTGTAGCGGCAAAACCTCGTATCGCTACTTGAATATGTAGCGGGCGCTACCGCTATCGCTACATTGCCTTAAATGAAGCGCCGCTACCGCTACCGCTACTGAGAATGTAGCGGCCGCTACATGTAGCGCGCTACTGCCCACCTCTGATTATAGATCAAAATAGCTAAAATATTATTGATCCAACACCAATAATAGACATCAGTTGAAGAGTATCTCGACAGACAAGGCTGTGAGATTCGTGATTACTTTTTTACGGTGGGTATTAGAAAATAAGGGCATTTTCCAGCTCACCCTACGCGATTAGGGTTAAGCATGCTCGCTCAGAAGCAGGCAGTTCCCCATCCGGCTGTACCCACTCCGGCCTAACCTCTTCTGGCCTAACCTATTCACGCTGTCCCGGCTGACAACCTTCTTGCAGCCATGCAATGACTGGCTCTACCAGAACACTTGGACCAAGTTTCTAACTTCTTGCAGCCAGTGAGGTTAGGCTAGGTCCACTCAGGTTTGTTTTAGGTGGAGAAAGGTTGAAGCTCGCATAGGTTAGGCCTGAAGAGGTTAGGCCAAAGGAGATTTGGTCAGATGGGTGCGCAGCCGTAGACCAGCGAAATAACGCTCAAATCAGCCCTGGAGCCAATATCAAACATCTAAAAGCTATAGATATTGTCATCCTGGCACATAAGCAGCTGTAGTCGAATGACATTTTTTCACCCAAAACAAACCTAAGTGGACCTAAAATCATTGGCTGCAGGAAGTTAGAAACGCGGTCCAAATGTGCTGGCAGAGCCAGTCATTGGCTGCAAGAAGATTGTGAGCCGGGACAGCGTGAATAGATTTGGCCTGAAGAGGTTAGGCCGGAGTAGGTACAGCCGGATGAGGAACCGCCTGTTCATGAGCGAGCATGCTTAAGCATTGGCTGAAGACCTACGGCGCTATTATCTTTCAGCAATGTTTCGCTTGTCTGGATTACAGAGTTCCAGCGTAGTCTGCGGCTTCTAGTTCTGAGGCTGAGTTAAGTTAATGCATGGTGAAGCTTGGCGTTGGCTCCAGGGCTTATTTAAGAGTAAAATTTGTGGCCTACGGCTGCGCCCCCCTAAAAGTCACCAATAGTTTCATGAACTTGACCACAGACGCTCCATAATTAAATAGTATAGTATAGTATGGTATCTTCGGCATTTAAAGAATAGGCCTGGATAGGCCTGTCGCCGATTCTTGTACTTTTCTTGACTAGTCTGGCCTTTTGATCAGGTTTTTCAACGGACGGTAGATTTAAAATAGCTTCTAGATATCAGTTGTTCCGTAGGGTACGAGGCATTTTAAGACTAAACATATGCTCATGCATGGCCTTGTCTAGTCTGTTCTTGAACGCGTTCATACACGGAGCGTCAACAATATCTTCAGGGAAGCTGTTCCACATGTCAGTGACTCGAAGCGAGAAGAAATGTTGTCGCGTGGATAAGTTGCATCGCAGTTTTTTTAGTTTATAGCTGTGGCCCCTGGTGTTGGTTCTTGTTTCAAATTCTAGTAATCCTTCTGGGACTTTGTACAAACCATGAGTATACTTGCATACTTCAATGAGGTCACCACGCAGGCGACGATAACGGAGAGTGGGAAGCTTCATAATCTTCAATCTTTCTTCATAAGACTTGCCCTTTAATCATGGGATTATCCTTGTTGCACGTCTTTGAACACTCAACTAAATTTTTGTCCTTTTCAAGTCTCGGTGACCACACAACGTTTCCAAACTCTAGGTTTGGGCGCACGACAGAGGTGAACAACAGCTTCATCATTTCTATATCTAGGTACTCGTAGGAGCGTCTGATCAGCCCAAGCAGTTTATTGGATGTATTAACTTGCGTTTCAATATGCCTATAAAATTTTAGCTCCTGTCGACACAAACTCCAAGATCTTTTTCCACGCAAGACTTCTCAATCATAACCCTCTCGTTGCAACCGTGTCTTCTCATGCTGTAAGCTTGATGTTCATTGTTCTTGCCGAGGTGAAGTACTTTACACTTGTCAGCATTGAAACGCAGCTGCCATGCATCAGCCCAGTCAACTAAACTATCAATATCATTTTGCAGTTGCATTTTATTTGACGCCTCCTTAACTGCTATTATAAACTTTTGTGTCATCGGCATACATGGAGCACACGCTTGACACTACTTCTGGTAGATCGTTTATAAAAGCGACGAACAAAACAGGTCCAAGAACGCTTCCTTGCGGTACGCCACTTCGCACAGTTACCCAGTCTGATACGGTTCCGTTAATGCTGACACGTTGTCTTCTGCCTACTAGGAAATTCCTGATCCATTGGAGTACATTTCCCTCTATTCCCAAAGAATTCACTTTACGTAACAGTCGCTCATGCGGAACACTATCAAATGCCTTGGCAAATCGAGGTACAGTGCATCCACTGGCACCCTTTCGTCCAGCAGGCGAGTCCAATTATTCAAGGTAGACAGGAGATTAGTGGTACATGATCTGCCAGGGGAAGCCTACCGAAGACCACCACTGCCCTGGATGTAATGGACTATCATGACTCCTGCCCTCCGGGACGTAGCCTTCGACACTTCTGGAAAATCATATAGGCAGCCGAAAGCCACCAGACAGAACGAATCAATTGAATTAGACCAATCAGCCCTCAGGAGAAACAGCCGGCGATCGAATGGCCTAGCGTCGTCCGCCGTACCGCGAAAAAAATGTACACCACTCGGACTGAGTCGGAACGTAGCGCGCCGGAGCCTTGCAGCGAATGTGATATCCGCCACCAAGCCGTCCGTATCTAGGCAGTGCGTCGAACCAGCCCTCGGTCGAACGCCCGCGGGTCGAACGCTCCAGCCGAGTGCTAACTTACGCACTTCGATCTCCTGTTCGATTTTTTTTCGGTGCATCTTGTTTGGAAGAACCGCATTCCTTCTTAACAATCTTGTTTACTTTCTTCCCAGCGATCGAAATATCTTTTTTCTTAATTGTTTGATGATTTCCGGGTTCCTTTACTGAGATTTAGCTATGGTCTCTCACAGCAATAAATCACCGGAAACAAGCCTGTTTAACACAACCGCCCGACGGTAGTAAAGTTCCGGAAGTACAGCACAGCCGCCCGACGGTAAAAAAGTTCCGGAAGTACAGCACAACCGCCCGACGGTAATAAAGTTCCGGAAGAACAGCACAACCGCCCGACGGTAATAAAGTTCCGGAAGTACAGCACAACCGCCTGACGGTAATGATGTTCCGGAAGTACAACACAACCGCCCGACGGTAATAAAGTTCCGGAAGCAATTCAAAGCAGGAAACAACACTCAAACAAGTCGGTCAGGCTCATGGAGCGACTACACAGCACGTCTGATCTCCACCGCGTCTCAATCTGAACTCTCGCAAATCAATAATATTGCAAGAAGACTCGCACTGATCGCAAAAATAACTTCCAGAATATGGACTAGGTGTATTTGCGTGATGTTCTTTCATTATTGTAATCACTTGCACTTGAATAATTTGCATGGTGCTCATCGTAATAAGTCACAAATCGATTACGAAGATAATTATTGAAACAGAAGACGCCTGTGTCTGAACTTTACTTCTTTAGGCACGTCGTTCACAAACCTTCACGTAGGCATGATTGAAGTAATATTCAATCTAAAGGTATATCTAAGATTTTTTTACTGGGAGATTACTTTTACTGGGTGATTATTGTTCGATCGCCACTGTTATCAACTTAACTATTTGTTCAACTATTATTAATAGTTTCAAGTAAGAAAATAGACTGCGTTCAATTGGCAAGTAGGGCTTCAGCGAAGACCAGTGCACGCTGGCCATCTGGTCAGTAAAGTCTTACTTTCAATCGCTACACGACCGAATTGTCGATTGAAATGCTAATGAAGAAGAAGAGAACAATCATGAACAGAATAGGTGAAAATTTTATTAAACATTTCATTTAAAAAAGTCTTCACAGGATTCAAAAATAAAGCTACTATAAATAAATATGTTCCTAAGATGAACACAACTGATGAACTTTATAACTCCTTGATGAGAATCGGAATGGCGAATACAACATTGACCATCAACCCATTTAGAACGCTATTCTTTGGTTATTACATCATGTAACTGAGATAGATATACAATATCATATCCGACTTCAAATATGCAACAAATTTCCTCCTTAGATCAGAAGTGGAAAGATAAAAGGTCTAAACAAATTTATTTTCACGCCAACTTCTTATTCCTGATTAGAAATTATTCCTGATTATTCCTTGGCACAACCGTGAGTAAAACTGTGCATGCAGTTTTCTACTCTGAGAAATTTTACTCTAAATTCTGAAATATGACGTCAATCAGTGAGCGATCCTGAGACGATGAGCTAAGGGAATGAAGCTAAGTATTCAGTCTAAGGATGACATCATCATCACAGCCGTTGAAGTTGATATAGTATTTGTACTGAGCCATGCCACGCATTCTACAATATAGAAGATATGCCCGATAGCGCAAAATATTACTGGTTTAAAATACACAAGGTAAGGCTTAAGATCAGCGATCTTTAGTCCAAAAATCACGTCCTTCGTCTCGAAGATAGGAGCATGCTTGAAGGAGTCCAATAATGCCAAGTGCACTGGATCGATTTTAAAGAGAATAGCCCATCAGGAAATAGACTCAAAACTAGATTAAAATAATCAAGGTGAAAGAAGTTATCTCGTCTACATTTGACATAAGCAACTTGGATTTCAGGTTGTCTGTACATGAGAACCAATTGACAATATAATCACACGCGATGGAATGTGTGTGTTGATATACCGAAAAACGCACGCTTGTATAATATATGTACAGGAACATATTATCGACATAAATAACTTGAACAAGACAAAATATGTATCACTTCAGCAGCGGTAACAGAGTGAATCTTCTGGAAACAATGCCCACAAAAAAGCGATCTGAAAGTTTTCTGATGGTCTGAAGTCGGGCATCAGTAGGGCGTCACTCTTCCTCTTCTTCCAAAAGAGATCTGGAAACACGAAAATATCAAGATAACAAATGCGGAGAAAACAAGGCAAAAATATTCGTTGCGGAAATCGGCAAATTCTCATGCACTAGAATAAAAATTTAGTAATGACTATTTTCGATTATTTTTTTTGGCTTTCAATTATAATGAAATCAAACTAGCCATCTATCTTCGGATGAGTAAAGTAGAGAACTGAAACAATAAAGAACAGATGTGGTTTCGACAAAAAAGATGGGGTCTAAAAAATGTATCAGTATTGTAATCGATAATTATCTTGCATAAACCACACGTTGGAGAATGTTAAATCACTCTCTTGGAGACAGACGAGCAGTTTTTCCTGACAACTGACAATACCTGCCATCTGTCCGGGCTCCTAAAGGCCCCAGACAATACCTGCTCTCAGTTCGTCGGTCTCTGTCCGACCGCTGCGACACGCTCAGGTTGAGTGCCCCGTCGCCTGTAGCATCGCTCAGCCAGATCACGATAGTAGACACGAAAGCAACTGTGTACCCACACACAAGTAATGTCATAACCAGAAATGAGCAACAAATAAATCGAACAACCAACGTGCAGCGTATTACTTAGAAAATCACATGGCATTGTAAGGCTTGAGTAAATGCATGGATAACTTACGTAAATTTACACACAAGCCTCACATCGTACAAAGACTAGGTAGAATTAACAATTCATTGAATACAGACAGTTGACAACGCCCCCTGCAAGAAAATGGGATAAAAACGAAGAATTACGAGACTGACACGAGACATAAAATTCTACATACAAAATACATACTAAAGCGGAACAGATTTGATGAATATTCAATTCTATTCCTTCCAAAATGATACTCAAAATCACATGTATTACTATTTTCATACGTATGAACAATTTAGCTGATCGGACCCATGGACACAATAAAATGAATTAACCTAGAAGTAGGATGATCACAAAACAGTATAGGTACTACTGATAAGACATCAGTACAAATAATTAATTATTCCACAAAAAATTTAGGAATTATTCCACGATGCAACGTCCGGTGCTGAAACTCAAGGAAAGCTCTATCTACCGCCATAATGTAATCAATATAAATCAACAGCAATTGAAAAATATGTTGCAGTGTACGAATTATAGAATAAGTAGAAATTGTATATTCTACAGGAGACAATAGGAACACATGACTACAGCAATACCAATTTCGGTTGAAGTTTTCCACATAGAACGTCTCTAGTTTAAATAACAGAGGCCAAAAGTTGTTGTGAACGGTCTCTTATAGCCGCTGTTCAATTTTAATCCGCACAATCAGAGAATACATTGAAGCGTTGTAAATTGAAGCCAGCCGATCTACAGAGGAAATTTCTTAAAATACTTAAAGTATAGCCAAAACGGGAAAAAATAACCACACAATGACTTACCTTCATTGGAATATGTTGTTCATCCATCGCAAGTAATTCCCTTCGTTAGAAACAAGTTATTTTTTCTGAATCGTCTAAGTCGTCGTTTGGTGGGTGTCTAGACGCTATTTCATCGTCTGTCGAAGAAACCGATTTCTCGTCGTTGACTTCACTGATGGAGGACGAACCAGATGACGAGCTTCTGGCGGAAACTTCAGAATCTGACGACGAAGAAGATACATCGTCTTCATGGTCGTCGGACGATGCTTTTACAGTCACAATTGCGACCGAATTCTTCTCTTCAAATTTAGGCTCGTCCTCAGAAGTTTCATAACCTTCGTTAACGGCAATGCCGACTTTGCTGTCCTGGTCGACTGGCTTCTTTTTTTCAATTTCCTCCATGACGACCTTTTCACCCTCATCAGTTTTTGACAGCTTGCCATCCTTGTCCTCGTTCTCACTGATCTTCTTGAGTGCGGCTTCTTTCATAAGTTTTTCCACCCGAGGAGACACAATGCCTCGCTCCTTGTTAGGCTTCATGAGGTAGCCGCCGTCTTGTATCATGTCTACCACGTAGATCACGCCCGTGCTGCCCACAGCCACTGAGAGCCAAGCACGTCAATGTTTCTACACAGCATCAATGGGATTTTGCGATTCCAAATGGGAACCGCATACAGTAACTTGAAAAAATCCAATCAAAACTTTTACTAATAAATTTATTTTTAATTTCGAATGAATACCGTAATTAAAAAAACTCTGCTTTCAGAATTTACCGTTTAGATAAACAGGAAAAACCCGCTGAAAAAATAGTAAGAGCCTGCAAAGTGTACCTCGGAGAGGAAAGTCAAAGGGGCTTTTAGTTGGTATTAGAAACATGAGTGGAGAATGAGAGTAAATTAGGTGTCCTCAAGATCCCTTGGGACATTTCTGCGTGCCAAGTGAAGAGCAATAACAGTGATGAGCGATACTCACGGCTGAGACATATCAGGTTGAGCACTTCCAGCATCAGGTAGCCGTAGTTGTCAACTACAAATCCTGATAGCATGCTGATCAGCGCCAGCCCCAGGTTTTGGATACTCTGCATTCTGCAGAAACAAGAACATGTAAAAGGAGGAAAATACATGAAATAGAAACAGCGGAAAGATCTTGAAAAATACGAGAACGAGTGAAAAAATTACACAAAAAAAGCTCAGTCAGTCAGTCAGTCAGAGGTCAATAATTTAAATAAAATCCTGATGATGGAATTGAATGCAAATTAATTGCAAGCGCCCATAGTAAAAATCAAAACAATTACAGGATTGTTGAGCGGATAACCCCCAACATTTTTTATAGCGAAACTTCCTGCATCAATAAATTAGTAACTAAATCAATATTAAAGCTTCTCAGAGAAGTGTTGCCAATAAAGCTGCGTTTTGCTTTTTGGAATTTCTTAGTGCCTAATGAAAACGTCTCAGAAATCATGACGTTGCCGCTCATTTCGGCCACTAATTCTCACATGCCGTAAGCAGTGCCCAGCTGCGACTCGGGCAGGATGAGAGCCACCATTGGCCAAAGAGAGCTCGCCAACAACGAGTAAGACAGGCCCATAATGCACTGAAATATAGTTTTAAGTAATTATCTGTGCATCATCTAAGTGTAATATTCACGACTTATGCTCTTCAAGACTGATAAATTCCTGCAATCAATTAATGTAAAGGTGAAAACAGATTTAAAGGTGAAAATTTAATTCCAACGCTGACTTGGATAAACTGACAATAAAGGCACAGGGATGTAATGATGTTATTCAGTAAAGATTCCTTCAGTAATGGTTTTTCGTGACATAGCAAACGATCTGTTAAGTAAAGTATTAAAGGAGATGCGATGTTAGCAGCGGCAGTAAATGAACTTTAGCTACATCAGTTCTCTCCGTTTATAATTTCAGAGTCATGATGATACCAACGGACCATAGGGATGTAGGGGTTGATGAATGTGAAGGCCATGATCGCATGTGCGCCCATGGTGACAAGGCAGGCAAGGCCAACCCACATGATGTTACGTCCCGTCTTGTCCACGACAAAGCCAAACATTGGTGACGCAAACGCTGAGATGATGTACACGATGCTGGACACAGTGTTCGCTTTAGCACTGCTTAGCCCGTACTTGTACATGAAGAAAACTCTGCACAACAAAACTGTCCTGAGTGATACAAAACTAAACTACTTATAAATAGATAACCACAGAGCAACACATTTGTTCACGTGAAAAATCTTCCGTTGAAGATACTTGAAACATTGAATTTATATAAAGAGAGCAAAAGAATCATATGCTGGTTTATATTCTGAAACGCGCCGAAAAGACAATCAAGAAGGAAATAGTAAGACATGAGTCATTGACTGCATTTGAGTTTTGCTTGTGGCCGTGAGGCGTAACGGACGTCAGTAAATTGCCTAGAAGTTCAGTCAAAAATAAAAAAAAAAATGTTCAGGATTAGCAGTAAGAGAGAGTGAATAAAAAGTTACCAAAGAAAAGTGCATTGTTCAGTAAACACGGCGGCCAAAGTCTGTGTTAGTAAACCTACCGGAGAATGTCTGGAATGCAACAAACGTAATTTTGACAATTGGCACTAAGATTTTACTCATGCCGACAGTTTTGTCACTTCGAATGTTCATTAATTCCAGAATACCAACTTGCAAGATACTTAAATACTAGAACGTCATTCATATGCAGAAAATGCGTGATAAACGAGGGGTGGGTCAAAGAAGGCACGGAGAGTGTGCAAGCTGTTCTAGCGTGGGAGAAATTGGCCTACCATGAATGGGTCCCTCTGTACTACTTAGGCGCGGTTACCCTCTACTCACGCCTCCCTCACTGCTGCCCGACATGGTACCCCGCCCGCCCCAACCCTTTACCGCAACGGTGCCACTCCCCTCTCGCATTTAAATGCCTTGAATAAGAGGCATTTAACTGTTAAGAAAGAAAGCGTTCGAACGCGAAAGAACGAACGCGTGTTTAAGAAACGCGTTTGCTGTAGATATCTTCAGGGCAAGTACGATTTGGAGAATAAAGGAATGAACTGTAATTATTGTCACCCTAAGATCTGTCACAAATTTTTAACATTTGGAAGCAAAAATCAACGAGGATTCAAAATTGGGAGAGTCTGTCAATACTATCATCCATTCTTTTGTTGCAATACTATTAAAAATGTAGCTTGCAAACTAGATAACAGTCGGTTTCATCACCTTAGGCTCAACCTGCAGGCGAGAGGTAACGCCGAAGAGAGACGGAACTGATATTCGGTCGAATCTATCCTGAACACCGGATAGATTCGACCTGCAAACTCAAGACTTCAGAAAAAAATTACATGGTTACAAAAAATCAGTTCTGGGAAGGGCAAATCTATTATAATCAAAGGAACAACAGGGCGGTTCCAATATTTACCGCACCGGCCAGCACAACCTACCGGAGTGAAGAACAACAAAGAGGACTCGGTTTCAGTCGCAGTAATTTGTTAGGCCTGCAGAGGCAAGTAGATCAGATTCAAAACAAAAGCAGCAGCTGTTGATATTGCACGAAAAAACAGCAGAAATCACAGCAACAAATGCAATAGCTGCAGAGCCAGAGACCCCTGGCAGGGCAGTGTTGCAGCAACTAAGAACGCATGGAAATGAAGAGTCTGGCATCATGATAGCCAACATAGAGGAGCTCTTCCCAAGAAAAAAACGCCACACGATCGGCGTGCTTGAAGAAATTGCTGAGACATAAGGAATAATCGTGCTTGCCTTAACCGAGTCGCACCTAAGAGAAGTTATCCAAGAGGGAGAAATCGAAATGAAAAGATTTGAACATTACCAAGCAGACCGAAAAGAAGGGAGGAAAAAAGGAGGCGTTATAGTCTACCTCAGAAACTCCCTCGCGGCAAAAACAGTTCCCCTGCACTTAGGCTACAATGGATATGCGGAGCATGTTATACTATACATCTCATATCTCCAACTATCATAGCGCATACCAACCGCCTGACTGCCGCCGGAAAAATTCAATGAAACTCTCGAGAGAATAGAAACAGAGGTGGCCAACTTGGGTGAACCTTCCCCAAATATTGTGGTTGCGGGAGATTTCAACCTACCACACATACGATGGCCACACTCGGACTGTTTAGAACGGCGCAGAGATTAGGCCAAAAACCAGGCAATAAAACTACTTCGATTCGCGAAGAAGCCCTTGCTAAGTCAACAAGTGCTGGTGCCAACCAGAGATCACAATATCCTGGATCTATTCTTCACCAGCAATGAAGAACTGGTTGCTGATATTCGTCTTGAGGAGACCGCACTGTCAAACCATCGACTAGTGGGTGTCGAGACAACAATTGAGAGGGTGAACCAGCCTAGACCTACACCTCGAGGTGCTAGCTGGGCTAAATTTTCATCATCGAAGAACAGACTGAGGCCATTGGGAACGAATTCCTCTAAATCGACTGGAGATCTGAGTTCCTGGAGTTAAACGCCGAAGCAATGTACAACAAACTGTGCGAAGTGTTACTGAAGGCATGCGCACGTCATCCATCCGCCAGGAAAACAACCCCCAAACGGCACATAATTCCGAGGCACAGACGGATCCTCATGAGAAAACGAGTGAGCTTGAACAACCAGATAACGGCCGCCTCCAGGAATATGGAGCGGCGGAGGCTGGAACATCTAAAGGAGAAAATTAAGGACACTGAAGTTGCGGAGACGCGAGCTGTGTCTGCAATTCGAGAAAATCCCAAATATTTCTACATATATGCCCAGTCAAAGGTCAAAATCAGAACCTCAGTGGGGCCTCTGAAAAATAACGATGTCCTTATTGGAGACGACCAGGGCATGTGCGAACTGCTAGAAGCGAAGTTTGAAAAAGTATTCAGCAAACCCCGATACTCAAGACAGGAGAACAAAATTGGAGTCATTCAAGAACTACCAGGAGGGCAGGTGCTGATGAACATTGAATTTGAAACACCGGATCTAGAGAGGGGCATCCAAGAATTATCGACTTATTAGGCTCCCGGGCCTGTAGTGTTACTGAAAAAATGTGTCGGTACACTAAAGGTCCCTCTGACTTTGCTCTGGAAAACATTATTAAGAAAAGGAAACATCCCTAGCGGCCTGATATTAGGACTAATAACCCCAATCTACAAAGAGGTGCGAGAGATAAACCCCAAAATTACAGGCCGGTTACATTAACATCAGACGTACCGGTAATCAAAGAATTTGATAAGTTTGATGCAGTACATGGAGGAAGCGGACCTTTTCAACAGAAGGCAACGCGGTTTTAGACGAAATCGCTCCTATTTGTCGCAGTTATTGGAGCATCACCACCAAATCCTGGCCATGCTGGAGGGGCGTGGTGTATTTGGACTTGGCAAATGCGTTTGACAAAGTTTACCATGAAGAGCTCTTCAGGAATTTTCAGATTACTGGGGGTCGGAGGTGAATTGCTGGCATGGATCCACAGCTTCCTAACAGAAAGACTACAAGCGGTCGTTGTTGGAGGCTCGAGATCGAGCGAGGCTAGGGTGATGAGTGGAGTACCTACCACAGGGAACGGTATTCGGCCCAATCCTCTTCCTCATTCATATCGCCGACATAGATGTGGCAGTGAACCACGTCACCGCATCGTTATTAGCGGACTACACCAGGATTCTAACGATCATAACGGACAGCGAGAGATTGCAAGAAGACCTCTCTGCAATATATGACTGGGCCCAAGTGAACAACATGCAGTTCAACGGGACCAAGTTTGAGGTTCTGAGAAACAAGAGGTAGTGGAAGAGCTGGTATGGAGCACCACTTCCTTGCACCTGACAACTCGGAAATCGAAGAGAAGCGACTCGTTCGCAATCTAGGAGTGTAGATGAATACTCAGGTCAAGTTTGGTGATCTCATAGCGGCAATAACCGCACGAGGTAGGCGACAGATGGGGTGGATCTGACGGACGTTCAAAACGAGAGAAGCAGAACCAATGATCACACTCTTTAGAGCCCTTGTAAAACCAATCCTTGAATACTGCAGCCCGTTCTAGACCCCGTTCACACTCAGCGCAGTGCGGCAACTGGGAGGGGTCCAACGAACTTTCACCTCCAGGATCAGAGGGATGGAGGAGTTGAACCACTGGGAGTTGAAGCGACTTAGTCAGTGAGCGAGACCTTCAGGATTGAGACACATCATAACGAGAGAAGGGGTAGTCTGTGCAAGATCCCCACACTACTTAACAGATCGGCGGTCAGATTTCAATTCCAGCGGGAAGGATCACTTTCCGTGGCAGGGTCGAGGCTGTTTAACGTCCTACCCAAGAGAGGGGGAGTTCACCCTGGAGACCTTCAAGAGACGACTAGACGTGTTCCTGAGCACAATCCCTGATTGACCTCCTCTGTAGCGGCGAGAAGCAAGCAGCATCATTGTGCATCAGCTGGCCCAAATGAGGGCGTATGTGCGATAGTCAAGAGGCGGCGATCCGTCGTGGCCCGGGACTGCTACGTCCGAAACAAATACTAGGGATACTAAGGAGTGTTACCAATAATATCCATACAATTCGCATGGACTGATAGAATGGCTTTGATTTTGGTAATACCTATTTTTCAATAATACTACACAATATTTTGTCTCAAATAATTATACACGCACTTGGAGAGTCCAATGAAAGGGAAGATGGCAGAGTAGAAGGTGACACAGATGACGCTGATCAGCCAGAAGCTCAGCGGGAATTTACCGATATCTTTCAGTTGAATTTTCTCTCCAACTTCAGCTGATGCCACACGTAGAACTTTGCTTCGTCTTCTATCTAAGATAGCAAGAACTATGGCGCATGTAAGCGAGAATATGCAAGTAAAGCCACCTGAAAAAAAAGTCACTTCAGCTTCTAAGTAGGGATTTCTCAACAAAACAATTCATGATAAGAAATGTGTGATTATAAATCATTTTACCCTGAACAATCAAAATGGAGAACAAAAAATTTTGGCTATTCACATAGGTACCGGTAATCATAATGAGGTAGGCAACAGAGTTGTTAGAATTTGAAAGCTTCATTATTTAGTAAATCATTAAATACTTGTAAGCATAGATAGTTCTACATATATCTTTATAGAGCCTTCAACAAATATATAAGTTACTCCATTGACTGAAGTTACAACAAAGGTCAAGAATTTTAAAATTTAATAATTTTTACTCAATAAAAAAAAATAATTATTTTCCTGTTCATTGCATTCAAAATGATGTTTATCGTAACACGACCCTTGCAGCCTTACCAATGGCAAGGGTAATTCCCAAAGTAACATGTCCGTCCTGCGTCTGATCAACCCAGTTATAGATGGGCTCCATGACAAGGAAGTTGACGGTAGAGCCTACTCTGGCCATGCTCAGCATCAGGCCAAACACGGTGTTCAACTCCTTGCCTTTGAACCAGCTTACGGTGTAGGCATTCTGTGCTACTGCCAAGCTCTCACCACCGACACTGTACAAATTCTAACCATTCAACTTCCTAAATAGTGAGATGTAATCATTGACTCCAGTCCAGTATTAAAAGCAATTGTACATACAGAGGGATGAATGCTCTAACTAAGGATATCCTTTAAAGAGTTTCTTGTATGAATTCACACTCTCATAAAGGGAGACATTTTTGACTAATAAGACGTTTGGAATTCCTAAATTCACTTGTTAAGTTATTAAGATAATTTTGTATATATTTTACATTAAAGAATAAGCAAAGACTATATTATTTTATAAACAGAATAACCTGATCCCTTATTGGGACAAACCCAAAAATGAATCGTCCAAGTTGCATGCACCAGAATGCATTAATAAGTGCACCAAATGAAAAGACGAAGTGACCAACAGTCACAATTGTTGAGAAGATGAGCGTACCCAGTCTGATCCCGAATATTCTGCAGAGAAAAGAATGAAATAAATAAATGTTTTATAGATTAATAGATTTATTACAACAGATGTAGCAAATAAAAAAAAAAACTAGAAAATAGAGGTCAGGTGGCATTAGTCATGAAGAACACTCAATAATTTTGGGGATCAAAAAGTCACTAGTTTGTTGACTTTTAGTATTTAATGAATGTCGATTTTAACAACCTGAGTTAGAATTACAATAAATCATATGCAAAAAGGATAAAAAAGCTTCTTGTATTTTCCACAAAAAATGCAGTAATATGAAATTTAAACTTGCTTTAGTTAAACACATTCGTAGAATTAATGTCATCATAGTATTGCTTGCCTGTCAATGAGGAAGCCACCAACAAAGCACAGCACAACATTCGGCCATGAGTATAGAGAATACAGGGTGGAGAACTGCAGAGTTGAGACATTCATATCTGTCTTGATCTCGTTTTGTAACGAAGCTGGAGTGTCATAACAGAAGTAGGAGCCTGTACACAAGTTACTTATGAGAACACTTGGAATTGTTCAAGCATTACAGATTCCAATTTGCAAAATGTACCTACATAAATACCTAAATACTTGATTAGGTAGTGGCATAATAATTGCAGCAGTTGCATCAACATAAAATTAATTCAACCAGCATAGTGAAGTTTTTGATGTAATAGAAGGGTTTTGAGAGCAAACTCTTTCAAATAATCTCCTTCCTTGCCTCAAGTTATTGGAAAAGTTCATGGTAGGAAAGGTTTCATTCTTAGAAGCCTAATTGCTTCCTAGTACAAAAGATAATATAAATTAGAAAGGTTTACCTGTTTGAGAATAATTAATCAATAATAATGAAGTCAGGAAACAACAATTATTTTTTTTCTAATTAAGAGGTAACAAGTCAGAGAAACTTTCATTTCTGTAAAAAGCTTATATATAGAACAGCAAGGTATTTCTATCACAATGCTGAAAACAAATTTTGAATTCATCAGTTGAAGAAACATCAGTTGTATAATGTATATCTACAAACCAAAACCAAGGAAGCACATGAAGACGAGGCCCACAAATCTATAGGGGCCTTGTTTGGGATCACAGCAGCGGGATCCCAAGCAGCCTGTCTCAGTCACCCAAGATCCTTCACTGACACTGGGGCTTTCTCTCCCACTGCCATTTGTCGGATTCCCGTCTGCAATGAACATCTCAGCATGATTTACATTTACAAGGATAGAAGTTTAAAAACATAACAAAAATTAGGATTTTTTAAAAATATTTAAATAACTAAAGATATTTTTGAGGTGGGTAACATGTAAAAGTATGTTTTAGTGCATTTTCTTATTTATGGAAAAAATGCACTATTGTGCTTGCCATGTCCGTCTGTCTGTCTGTCCGTCCATCTGTGACCTCAAGTTTATCTCGATGAGAAAATGCGCTCTCTGTCACTCACTGCAGTGAGTACTGAGTTATATTTTTAATTTAGGTGAGGTTACAGCAATGTTTGCCCAATCTTCATTTCTAATGAATAGTCTCAGCAATAAACATTATATTGGTAATTCCTTAACTTTGGCAATAGAAGCTACAACATGACAAAATAACAGAGAGGCTTTTGATTGGCTCTCGAATGATTGTCAAAAGAATGAAAATTTCCAAATGCTCCTTTCTTTTCTAGTTCATGGAAAAGACTTACATACCTGACACTTTAGACCAGTGGTTCCCAAACTTTTTCAGGCTGGCGCCCCCTTTGACTCCCTAGTGAACTTCTAGCGCCCCCCACAGACATATATAAAAACATACGCCCCTTTCTTGAAATTTAGTACGCTGCAATTTTAATAGATAAATGTTAAACACAAATATGTATTTCACAAATAGAACCCCATTTAGTGAACCAATATGTTTTTATGCTGTTTTAACTGTTTCAGCACTAGAAACCTAGGACGTCTCAGGCAAATTCACGGCCGGACTCGTGGCCAATCTCCAAATTCAATTATCAAGTAATATCTCACAAACTAATGAACGCAGCTCAAGGTAACTTGGAACATATATTCATCAGTACCTAACGTTGATTTTTAGCTTGTAAAAAATTTTAAATTTCACCTTTATTCGTGAGTTATATTGCGATAAAGGCCAAAATTCGCAGTGATCAAAGAATTTCTTCCAAACTACTGAACAGATTTGAACAAAATTTTGAATATACATTCCTAAATACCAAGCGTTGACTTTTTTGGCTTTTAAAAATTTTCGATTTTACCTTTGTTTGCGATTTTTTTTTCATTTCACAGTCATTCTTGATTTCACATTTCATTATATTCGGCCCGTATCGCTGGATAATTTGTCGCTTACATTAGCGGCGATCAAGAAATTTCTTCTAAACTACTGAACAGATTTCAACAAAACTTTGTATATAAATACCTAACCTCTCAACGGTGATGTTTAGCTCGTGACAATTTTTCTAGTTTGCTTTCGTTCGCGAGTTATACAGATATAGGAGGAACGACCGGCTTTTCTACCGGCCGGTTTAACCAAGAGCCGTTTACGTATATCCGTATACGTATAGCCGTACAACTCGCAAACGAAGGCAAAACGAAAAAATTGTAGCGAGCTAAACATCACCGTTGCTGAGGTTAGGTATTTAAATACTAAGTTTCGTTCAAATAAATTCAGTAGTTTTGGAAGGAATTTCTTGATTACTGCTAATTTAAGCACATATTGCTGTTTAAATCACAAATGAAGGTGAAATGGAAAAAAACTCGCGATCAAAGGCACAATCGAATAAATTTTCATGAGCTAATTATTAACGTTTGGTAGTAAGGACTGTAAAATGTAAATTCAAAATTTCGTTTGAATCTGCTCAATAGTTTGGAAAAAATTTCTTGATTACCCGGTACTGTGAATTTCGGCCCGTATTGCCATACAACTATGGCAAAAACAAATGAAGGCAAAATAAAAAAAAATTCACGAGCTTAACATTACCGCGTTAGGTCCTAATGAATATACCAAGTTTCATCGAGTTAAGTTCATTGTTTGAGAGATATTACTCGAACATTGAATTGGAAATTGGCCGTGAGATCGGCCGAGAGTCTGGCCGTTAATTTGTCCTAGACGTAAACCCAGGAGAGGTTTAAAAACAGATCTGGGTGAAAAACCCATCGCTGGAAGTCATGTGCTGCACGTGTTGTGTACAAATCGTCAAACAGACGTTCGAACTTCTGACTTCGGACTACCGCCCCCCTATCACCCCCCAAACGCCCTCTTCTTCCTTACCGCCCCCCAAAATCTTTCCATTGCCCCTAGGGGGGCGATATCGCCCACTTTGGGAACCACTGCTTTAGACAGTAGTAGATTGGAAATTTATTTATACTAGTATACAGCATGACTAGTGCAAGACATATAAAATCTAAAAGTTGAACTTTTTACTAAATTACCTTGTTACATCATTACATATTTTGGGTAATCTTGCAGCTTCATTAAGCAATTTTATCAACAATTATCTAGCAGACCTATAATTCACATACGGTAGTGGAAGTTTCTCAGTACAAAAAAATGCAAGTATATAAGTGCTTACTGCAGCTTGCACTAAGAGGATAGCTAGTTCTGCAACTAAAGGATAAAGGAACAAATGTAGAATTCAAAATCAACCGGACTACAAAGTTTATTTGATCTCAAGCAAATTCATAGTGGGTGACAACTTAACTAACAGCATTTTTACTGTCAAGTGTCAATGGTTGCCACTTGGCAGAAACTGCACATATCTTCCTGCTTGTCGGTAAAAATTCCATTATACTAAATAGAATTACTATAATTTGTGGGTTTGATTGCCACATAATAGCTAAGAAAATTTTTGAATCACGATAGAAAATTATGGCTCAGTTTTTTTAACAAATTTGATTGTTTCTTTTGAAGACAGGCAACACATGAAAAATTAGAATTTTACTAGTACTTATTACAGAAATCTTACAGCCAAAACTGAAAAACTTTCAATAGGTATATATTTGGAATCCTGCAGCCTGATTGTGCACTTTTAGTGACAATTAGAAAGGAGGTCATTCATCAAGTGGGAATATTGCAGTTCCAAAAAAGGCAAGAAAGCTCTAGTCATGGCTCAAGAGGTAGATTATATTTTACACCTGAACGTAAGTGAAAAGTCAGTGGCAGTGATGAAGTTATTGGCCATAAATCTTACCAACTTGTACAACAGATAGCATATATATATTTATCACCTCAAACCTAACTGGAAAATTTGGCAGAAAGCACCTAGGATTTACAGAATGAAACAAAAATGCTCATGCTCACAGACAATTTTCTTCATTACTATAACCCTTTTTACATTTTTGCTATAAAATTAAGATATACAGCATATTTTTGTCAGCCACTTTAGAAAGTCACATGGAAAAATTATTTTTATTCACCATGTTTAGAAAATTCTGTCCAATTTTCTGGATTGGTTCATTTGGATTTTGGTTATGAATAAATGAACAAATAGCAATCATCACTGAGCTTTGAATTGACAGAGTACATTTACTACATTAGAACCTAGTTACCTAATCAAAATTGTACAGTAGAACCTAGATACGTACCTAATTGCTAATCTGCAATAAATATTTTAACACTAATAATTTCTAGCTTGCTGGAGCCTGGGTCATGGATGAACATCAAATATACATATCATTTCACAAATTTCATCCAGATTACACCAATCCAGCCTATGTCCTTGAGTGACCTTGACCTTGAGCTATTTTATTTCATTGAAATAAAGTAAAATTTTTAGTTTTACTTTAAAAATTAGTTTCACTCACAAATTAGATCCTGACCTATTCTTATCAATTTTTTTTTTCAAAAATTAAAACCACCCATAACATTACCTGATTACCTATCACCATTTTTTATGTTTATCCAGAATTCATATATAAAGCTACTGGTTATTCCAGTGAGCTTACTGAGGCTGAGCTAGTGAGCTTAGGCTAACTTCGTAAATGTTTGGATACTTTACCTGGCTCTCTTGCCCTAGGGCCTAGGTAGCCCATTTGGTGCATTTTTTTGAAATGTGGGCTTTTGGATGATTGGATCTCCTTCAAAGTTTCAGACAAGTTAAGGAAAGTACATGAATCGACATCATGATCATGCCATGGGATTTATTCAGCTCCCACACTTCTATAATTATAAGTCACATTACTCACATACCTGAAGGCTGAACCTGTCATTGTCAAGTCAGACCACTCACCAGTCGGCAGTCACCACGACCACAGACGTCAGACAGTACGACATTAAATGACTAATGATAAAATCTTACCATCAGCTTCAGCCGGCCAGCCCGGCCTGCTGACTTCTTGACCGTCACTCATCTCGCCGGAAAATATATTGACTGGAATAAATAATGGTTATTTAAAATCTTTAACAAAGAAAAGCATCGGCGGGGCCGGGCGGTGTAGAGCTTAGGAGCTACAAGACCAACGCCACTCGCAACCAAACGCAAACAGCACTCAGCTGTTACCATCAAGTGTCAAATACAGTAGTATACGTTCGTGCGGACAGTGACTCATTCAATTGACAAATTACTTGTATTAATTACTTAATTGACAAATTACTTGATCGTACAGAAAGTTCACACCAACTCTCCATTAAGATCACAGACAAACGGAGAGGATAACATTTTAAAATTTCGACATACAAAATGCAATAGTATTGGCTCGAGTCTATTTTATCATTCAAAATACTGAAGAGACTACGTGTGCATAGCCTATAGTTTCCTCATTTTATATATTTTTTAATTAACACACACAGTTATGGTGATGAGTATGAAACTATCACGAGTAAGAATAAATGGATAAAATAAGAATGACATCACGTATATTCTGAAGATATTGTAGGCAAGTCCGCTAATTAGAGTTCATCAGAAGCAGCGTCGCCGAGGTAATCAGCGTAGTAGGCCTGTCGCTTCAGACTGAGTTCAGTCGACTTTAATGCCGGAACTTGTCCGATATAAGCAAAATGGCGTCAACTTAGGAGACATTCCCTCCGTAGGATGTTCATACAAGCTCCTAGGATCGTAGAATTAAAACGCAGTGCAATGAACCGTTGTCGTTATATTAGATTCTTCACGAACTCGAGCGTTTGTGAAATTTGAGTCGTTCTTGAAGCAGGAGTTATTTGACTAAGGAACGAACAACGTTCAATTTTCAGGGAAATCTGATCAATTTTGCGTTTAAATTTTCTACAAAAACAATATTCGAAAAAACAGTATGGGATAAAATCTCTTCAGAATAAAAACTTTCACACTGATCATGTTAGCCAGTGGCGAAGATGTTTCGTCATTGCTGCAAATTTTTAGCAAATGTGCGCGTTTTTCATCGTTTTTTCTCTTTCTACCAGTCATCGCACAACACTAATCACAAAAATTGTTGATTGTTGTACAAAACCAATTACGGATATGCTACAAAAATTTAAAGTGGATTTGCGATGAAGGAACGCTTTTCGGGTGAGAAACTAATGAACACGATGATATCGCAAACGTTAAATCACGTTTCCCTTACATATGAAAAGTGTTAGAGTAGAAAAAAGGTAGTTAACCTAATTAAAGTATGAGTGATTGCTTTTCGAAACGAATGTGACAAGAAGCATCATAGTAATTCACACTCACTAGTGTTCTACCGTGAGGGTTTCCCAAGACTGGCTGCATGGGCTGGTGATTAATTTACCGAAGAAACTTATCAGGAGAACTGACAAGGTAATCACGCTGTGACAAATGTTATCTAACGTCAACTATCCACCAGATTAGCTTATGAAGAAAAAAATGCTTTATTCGCTTTAATACAATAAAGAAAAATTTCACAGATGCGGTAACATCGCATTACATCGCGTTATTGTATGCGACTCGACAAGATGAAAAAATGAAGCGTGAAATAAGGCGAAGTCATTAACATCGAGAACTAGAATACTAACAGATTTCATTATGTACAAAAATTGGCCTCGTCTACAGTTATCAGATAAGTGGACTAAGACGCAAAATTACGCAGTCGTAATCACACATGATGGAGCATAACACGTCTAGAGATTGGAGTGGTGGTCGCTCAGAGTCGTGGCAAGATTATAATCTTGTGACTATAGATAGACTCTTGAGCTGCAGACTTAAAATATGTAGGGCTATCAGATATAAGTTGTTATAATTATTAGGCAAGAAGAAATGATTTAAAGACTAACATTTTATAACAAAATGCGTATGATTTAATGAGGATCATTATATATATATATATATATATATATATATATATATATATATATAGTAGAGCTCTTTAAAATTTGGTTTCTAAATTTTCGGCTCAACAAGGCTGCGCTCCTGCCGAATAGAAAATTCCGTAATTTAATCAAATTATGCACGGTTGTCGAAGCAGATGACACGCTGAGTCATTGAAGCCTTTCAGCAACCAGTTATGAGATCAGAACGAATGAGAACGAATTTATTTGGCTTCACAAAATGTAATTCATATCTGTATATTTTTCATCGCCTACAGCGCTGGCTCGTGTGAAGGTTTTTCAAGAGTTTGATGGGAAAAGAAAGCCGGTGATCTTCATATACAAAAAACGAAATTTCTTTGGAAAAATTTCCACTTCGGTTCAAATGTCTGGTTTCAGTACCACTGGAGTGATGCTACCGTGCAAATGATTAGCTAGCATGCAAAACAATAGCTATCCAAATACTTTTACAACTCATCCGCAAACCTAGGATAATCGAAGAGATTTATAGGACTTCGAAGATGGAAAAACTATTCAAGCTTTAAATGTTTTCCTATGTGAACGGTGGGGATAATGATGAATCGCACCCTTGTATTAATTTCAAACTTCGACGATACTTCTTTAGCGTATTTGGTTCATATATCCTGTAATTAATAAAGTTTCGAATTGCGGTTTTTACCAGAATTTGACAAACAACTCCTACACCGGAAATTTTGATCCAATACTTTTGTTTTGTTCTACGGAACAAGTCCGCTCCTCCGTTGATTTTGTTTTCTGCAGGACTAATATGGCGAGGAATTCCGTGGGCTGTACGGAGGACAGCGCTGGGAAGCGACGGCTGCTGAGGCGTCCTTTCATTACGTTGATGGCCGGCCACGCCGTGCAAGCGGTGACACAAGTTTCCTGAGCAGACGATTTTACGCAAAAAAATCTCTGGAAATTAATTTCAACAGGTTGAGTTAATGCCCGCTAGAATTTTTTGTAGGAACATAGGAAGTTTTATAACTACTACGGTGATCATTGGTATGCATTTTTTATGGATAATTATTAATGTTGTTGGGGAATAGAAGCTGATATTATTAAAGTAATAGATTAAACTTGTATTTCGGTGAACGAACTTGAAATATTGCTCTTGGGTAATATTTGGTTACTTAGGACTCAATCATTTTACCACCGATATTAAGAAATTGGTTACATGTATATACTTCACATGCGAATTGTGTGCAATGGATTCTGTATCGATGTGCGTCAACCAACATACACTAGAAAAAATATGGAATATCGATTCAAATGTAGAATTTCGAAGAGATTTAACAATAGAATTCCTTCAAAAAGCTGTATGCATGCTTATGAAAATAAGTGAAGCCGGTTCTAACAACGCAAAACGCTTTTACATAACCTGGCCACTGTAGGAACGAGCGTCATTTTTGAACAACTCTGGACATATTTGTCGAGCGCTCATGCGTGTCCCATGTGAAGCAATGGTGCTGAGAACCCAAGGTGGTTAAGTGCTTTTCGGGGCGCTCAGCAGCAGCGATTCATCAAGTGCAATTGATATAAACTGAAACCTGACGCAGCAGCGAAAATATCCGTGACGAGAGGCGCCGTGGTCCTCCAGTCAAGGTTCGCATAGTGGTCCTCAGGAGAGTCAGGCCTGAGTCTTTGCCATTGTTCGACACCGGGCCACCGGCACGAAAAACTGTGCTAAAAGCCCTTGGTCAACAATGAACTTTGAACGAGGAGAAAATTCCTTCACTTACCGGAAGGATGCTCGCCCTCCTCCCTCCACAGATTTCGAACAATGAGGAGCATTAGTTCGATCTATTTTAGTGTCAAGAGGCCTTCCGATATTATAGAGTGGACGCAGCTACTTCTGCCGTCATCACGATCAAACTTGAGGGCAGAACAGACCCATTTTCATGTCGCGTGTTAGTTACATGCCAATGAAAATCGAGAAACGTGACTTAGCAGTAATTTTCATTGTTAATAATTAGTAATAGAGTAATTAGCTTTGGAACATTTTTGATGTTCAATACTCACTCGAGCACACTGAACAATATAAAAACTTTAAAATGTTCAAATATTTTACTTAAATTCCCGTATATATGTAAAAATTCCAGTGAAATTAAAAAATTCCTACGTGCCTCATTTGCTGTGCAGCATACATAAATGTACCTGACTTATTTGACGCAGGCACGCATCATAATCTTTTTTTTTCGAGAGTTTAAACTTTAAATCGCATTCATTCAAATTATAAAACTGAATTACGTAAGAAAATAATTAAAATTTTCCGAGTGACGGAAAAATAAATCATAAAACTGTTCAATACAAGTACCAACTTTTTCACCATGGAGCTTATATCCGAATGCCCTAAGAGTCTTACAGTCCAAAATCAAGTACCGTAATGCTATGAACCAGTTTACTGAGTACAGAAGCTTATCCAAGCATGGTAAAATGTTTGGTCGAGGGTTTGCCGAGTATTCATTACTTTCGCTCGTAGCTGAGAGGTTGCTAATTTAAGTTAACAATTCAGGAGTGCTTGCTAAAGCCTGCTAGATGGCGCCGGTTTAACTCCATTAAAAATGAGCTATTTAGCCTAATGCCTGACATTCAAGTGCTAACTAATTTAATTCGCCCGAGTTGAAACCAGGATTTGCTCGGGATGTTTGGAACGCAACAGTTGTTATTACGACTACATATATGCGAGTTATATCAAGTTTTATTTCATTAGGAACATAAGTTAGATAATTTTGTCTGTTCATAATGTTTTCGTTGCGATTTAATTGAAGCAACCAAATGAACACTAATTTTCAGTTGATGAGTCATAAGACATACTCTTCAAATTAATGAAATACACAAACAGCAAACGTTTGTTTCAACTTTTTGTTCCTAATTTGCTCAAGAACTAAATTGGTGTGATGAATAATGCTCTGCCAGAGGCATTGACATAACTTGAATTTCTCTTGAGAGTGAGCGTCGCACAGTAAATATTTTGGAATCGTTGTGTTCTCCGGCAACTAAATTCTAGACTCCTGCGTTTGGTATTTTTTTTTGTTCCGAGACGAGACGAGACGAGACAACAGGCTCGGTCCCGGTTCGCAATAAAAACCGGGACAATTTTCAGCCCTCCGTTGGAATTACGGGACGATACCGAGACGAGACGAGACATCCCGGTTAAAATAGGTACCTTAAAATTTCCCGGAATTTACAGCCATTTTAACTTTAAACAAGCCCAAGTGTATGATAACAATTCAGGAAACTGCGCAATTGTGAAGATTTCCTGCAGGCTTAGCACAAAATTTTACTAAAGGCAGAAATAATCTAATACTAGCTTTAGTATTATTAGGAATATCTTACCACGACTCCACTCCACTTTCTACTAATTGGCCGACTAATCTAGACACTGCGTCCCTACTCCCTATGCGCTCCACGGCGCCTGAACTCGTTCCGAACGCGTAATAAACTCGACTCATATTCGTACGGTTCCCATAACTGCCATCGAAGCCTTAGTTAAGACTTAAGAGTTACATTTGTGACTCAATACTCAGCCATGCATACATCGACAGGTTTGCGGTGTTTGTCAGACCACTAATTAACTGCCATGTCAGTTAGTCAGACAAATTTTGCTAAAGACGTGTAACAAGGATAATTCCAGGCTTGAAGGGCAAGTCCTATGAAGAAAGATTGAAGATTATGAAGCTTCCAAGCCT